GTCTGGCCTGCATGGTTTCTGTTGAGAAATCAGCTGACAATCGTATGAGTGCTCTTTTATAGGTAATTACCTGCTTTTCTCTTGCTGCTTTTAATATTCTCTCTTTGTCTTTTGCTCTTGGAATTTTAATTATGATGTGTCTTGGTGTAGTCTTCTTTGGGTTCCTTTTGTTTGGAGTTCTGTGCGCTTCCTGGACTTGTAAGTCTAATTCTTTCACCAGGTGGGGGAAGTTTTCTGTCACTATTTCGTTCAATATCTTTTTGATATCTTGCTCTCTCTCATTTTCTGGGACCCCCATAATTCTGATGTTGGTTTGCTTGAAGTTGTCCCAGAGGTTTCTTACATTATCTTCAACTTTCTGGATTCTCTTGTCTTCTTGCTTCTGTGAAGGAGTGTCTTCTGGCTCTTTATGTTCTAAATCTTTTACTTGATTCTTGCAATCTTCCATTCTGTCTTTAGGACTCTGTATAATATTTTTTATTTCAGACAATGTATTCTTTATTTCTTGTTGATCCCTTATTAGTTCTTGTTGATCCCTTTTCATTTCCTCATAGGTCTTATCGACCTTTTCTAGGAAATTCTTGAAAAACCTTATAAGCGTGGTCTTGAACTCTATATCCAGTCTCTTCTTTTCCTCCATTTCTTTTGTTTGTGATCTATTTCCTTGTCTCGGCATTTTCATAGCTTCCCTGAGTTGGTAGGGTTGCTTTGTGTGCTAAGGTGTCCTATATGGTTCAGTGAGTCAGCCTCCCAGTTACCTGAGGTGGACAGTCTTGGTATAGCCTTTTGTGGGCTGTGTGTGCAGTCTTGTTGTTAAGCCTTGCTTGTTGTTGGTATCACTGGGAAGCGTTGATCTCTAAGCCAGTTGGAGGATCAGAAGTGTCTCAGCTAGGAGGGTTTCTGTATTCTCTGTCCTTCATTTTTGAGACCTTTCCTTTTAAGGAGATAGAAATGTTTAGGTCAGAAATATTATAACCCAGCATGATCAGTTGGTATTTTTTGCTAGTTTCTGTCATTCAGATTAAAGCACAACATAGCACTGCACAATCACTGAACTTTTTCACTGGCCACTTCAGAAGTCTTCCTTGTGGCCTATTTGAAGTAACTGCTTCCTCTCCCTAAAAGTAACCACTTCCTTTCATAGTAATCCCTTCTTTATTTATCTTTATGGTTTAATCACCCAAGTGGGTATTCTTCCACATTACTTTGGTCTTACTATTTGTTTTTAAAATACCTTCTGAGTGTCTTTTAATCTGCAGGTTCTTTTTCTCTGTGTAGATTACTTATCTGTTGAGGAATCTGGGTTATTTGACTTGCTGAGTTTCCCTATGGTCTAGATTTTGCTGATTGCAGTATGATGCAGTTCTACTCTCTTCTGTATTTTCTGCAAAATTGCCAGCTGGATCCAAAAGCTTGATGAGACACAGAATAATTTGAAATAATTGGATCCTGTTTTTTTCATCAGGATGTACGTACTATCTGATTGTCTGTTCTCATGATTTACTACCATGAAACAAATTACCTCAAAACATAGTGACTTAAAACAAAAACAATTTCATTGTGTCTCATAACTTTGTAGGTCACGAATTCAAGCAGGGCTCCGTGGAAGATAATTCTGCTCCATGAGGCATCCATTTGGTGGATGGGCTGGTCTGGAGGTTCAGAGATGGCTTTATTTACATGCTTGACACTCTGGTAGGAATGGCTGGAAGGCTGGACTTAGCTGGGCTCCTCTTGCTTTCCATGACTTTCCAGAGACTTCCTGGTCTTGTACATTGTCTCTCCAGCAGAGTAGTCTGAGTTCTTACATGGTAAGTGTCAAAGAATTTGTGAACATAGAGTAAAACCACCCCAGTAACAAATATTTTGAGGAGATACTTTGATATGTCATGTTTCTCTTTAAAGTTTCACCCTCTAATTTTATCATTTATACATGAATCTTGCCAGTAGCAGTTATTATCTGTAGTGTTTCTATTTTTCTCATTCCTTCTACATTCATTACCTAGCATAGGATATAAAGTGTCCTACAGCCTATAAATCAGGCCTCAATAGTTATTTATTTAGTTGTTATTCACAACTGTATGACTCATGGATGTTTGTTTTATTTTTCAGTTATAATCTAATACTATCATAATTAATTTTGTTACCCCAGATTTTCTATCTGTGGCCATTGGAAGCTCTTTCAGGTTGATTCTTATGTCCTTTGGACTTAAAGCTAGTTTTAAAAATGTTTTTCTGGCCTACTTTTTTTGTAGGAGTATTATTCTGTTTATTATTTTCTTCTCAACTACTTCCTGTATATATGACATTTGACTTCATTTGTTTATTTTTAAAAATAGTTTTTTTATTAGTTTTAGAGAGAGGAAAGGAGAGGAAGAGAATCATTGATTAGCTGCCTCTTGCATGCCCCGCCCCCCACCCCCCACTGGGGATTGAGCCCACAACTTTTAACATGTGCTTTTACTGGGAATCACACTGTTGACCTCCTGGTTCATGGGTTGATGTTCAACCACTGAGACACACTGGAAGGCCATTTGCTTATTTTTGTGTGAAATTAGTTTTTTTGAACTTTTAGAAGGCATGGTTAAGGATAGTATTTTCAAATTTAAAGAGCTTCCTTTTCTGTCTTTTTCAGGTAGTATTTACAAACATGGTGGTTTATTTCTAAGATTTCCTAGCTTTGTTACCTTCTCCTTTGTTCCCTTTGTCTCAGTTGTGCTTGTCCTGTATAATTTTGATTCTGTTCATACTTTCTTCTCCGTTTAGAGCCCTGTCCTAGCTCTTCAGTTTCAAGAGTTTATAGAGACTTCCATCTCCTTAGCCCATACATAGACTTCTTTCATTCACCTTTTCTAACCACCAAAACATCTTCCATTTTCAAATATAGTCCTCAAATTGGATCCCTGTGCTTTCTAGTGAATACCTGTTGGCTCTTTTGTTGTTCATCTGCTTTTAGATCCATTAGCTACCTGTTGTTTCCTTCTACTTCTGCTTCTACTGAAGCTGAAACACGTTGTATAGATATCACTGGTTTGTCCCAACCACTTAAAATTTGGGGTTCTTAGAGATAACTAGGTAACACCTAGTTTTGTTATAAATGTCCACAGTGCTTTAGTTTTCCTGCATAAGTACTCCGTTTTTATGAGGGTATTTATGGAGATTTCAAGGCTTCATATAATCTTTTTATTATTTTATGTGTCATTTTGAGCAAAATATATTTTAATGGCATTTTATATATATGTATATATTTTTATTTATTTATTTATTGGTTGATTGATTGATTTTTTACAGAGAGGAAGAGAGAGGGATAGAGAGTTAGAAATATCGATGAGAGAGAATCATCGATCAGCTGCCTCTTGCACACCCCCCACTGGGGATGTGCCCGCAACCAAGGTACATGCCCTTGACCGGAATCGAACCCGGGACCCTTCAGTCCTCAAGCCGATGCTCTATCCATTGAGCCAAACCGGTTTCAGCTAATGGCATATTAAATGACAGATGTAGTTGGGTTACTGGTTGGATAATGAATCACTAAAAATTATGTGGCTAGGAGATTTTTTGCAACATGCTGGGGTACAAGTTCCAAAAAAAAGTAAAATAATATGATCTAGAAAGAAGTTAATGTTTTATGCTTATAGTCACCAACTTACTGATTTAAAGTGAACTTTTATTTCAATAAACCTATGGTGAATTTCAGGGTCTCTATTTTTAGTTTACTTTGGAAACTTGTATAGGCCATTTATTCTACCTTTTTCTCCCTTGACTTTCTGTTTATCTTCGGAAAGATCTTGAAGAATAACTATGGCCCAGCCAGTATGGCTCAGTGGTTGAGCATCAACCCACGAACTCAGGAGGTCACAATTTGAATCTCCGTCAGGGCACATGCCAGGGTTTCTGTCTCGGTCCCCAGTAGAGGGCATGCAGGAGATGGCCAGTCAATGATTCTTTTTCATTATTGATGTTTTTCCCTCCTTTCCTTCCTTTTTCCCTCCCTCCCTCCCTCCCTCCCCCTCTCTCTCCTTCTCTTTTTTTCCCTCTCTTTTTCTCTTTCTCTCTCTCTCTCCCTTCCTCTCTGAAATAATAAGAAGAAAAAATCACTGTATATTAGTTGTGAAGTGCTCTATCTTCATAAAAAATTGACTAGGTAAATCTGTGTGATTTTTCTTCACATTGACTCTCTTTATGAATGAAGACTGAAAATTTTTTTCAGTCCATCATTGCCAGTCCATTTTTGCCTTTTCCCATGAAGAGAGGCAGTTTGGTGTAGAATTGCTTTAGACTATCAGTTGTTAATTAGTTGCCTATTGTGTGCTGCTCAATTTTTATTATCAAAGTTATCTTTCAAAATAGGATTATGTTTTATAACTATGACTAGCTGTTAGGGACCAAATTCTATGCTTTTGTTCTCTTTATTATTTATATACACTTATTTTCTCCTTTGAAAATGATTTTAATAGCATGTATATTACTTTGCCAAATACATAAAAATAATTTATTATGTGAGATATTGACTTGGGATGAGATAGTTTTTCTGAGGTTTTATTCGGGAACTAAAGATTGAAATGTCCCGTTTATTGATATATTAAATTAGCTTCCAGTCAATTCTCAGAGTGAACAAAGCTTATTTATTTGAAGTGGGGAAAAAGAAGAAACAGCCAACTTATACATTAGGGTTTGAAAGTTATACAGTGACATTTTAGTTTTAGTAGAAACTTTTGGGACATTTTTCTTCCTAATCTCCTCGCTACACAATTAATGATTCTAACAGTAGGTTTAGATTTATTGATTCAGTTGATAACTCTATGCTTTCCTAAAATAAGTCAGAAGAGTTTAGATATTTTTGTTTAATAGAGCCTATTTTTAAATTTAAAATATGGGCTAAATTAATGGATAATTTAATTTGTCAGATTTTTTTTTTCCATTATACTTTGGCATATAGGTTGGGTAATATTAAAATTATTTAGAAAAGCATTAAGGCATTTTGTTTGATCTGCTTTCAGGTTCATGCATGGGAGATTTCAGACCAGTTGTTACAGATTCGACAGGATGTAGAATCATGCTATTTTGCTGCACAGACCATGAAAATGAAGATTCAGACCTCATTTTATGAGCTTCCCACAGACTCTCATGCCTCTTTACGGGACTCATTACTAACCCATATCCAGAACTTGAAAGACTTGTCACCTGTCATTGTAACACAGGTAAAACCTATGCTTCTCATTAAGGAAATTTGTTAAGAAGACAATTTGGATAGCAAATTAATTTTGATTAACGTTGCTAGATCATGTGAAGTAATGTTAACAACCTTAATATACACTAATTGCTATATTCTTATAAGTGGGTAGAAAGTGAAAATTTAAATACTTGTATTAATTTTAGAGTTCATTTAATTTTAAACTAGCATATACTAGGACAGGGGGAGATAAGTACAGGTTTTACAGGCAGCCACATGTGTGCCCCACACTCCCCTTGTTAAAATTGCAGATGATAAAAACACTGTGCTATTTCGGGCCAGCGGTCTATGTAGTTGCCTTTAAAAAAATCATTTCTGGACTGATTGGCTAATAAAGCTTTCATGAATGAAATGGTAAGGTAGAGCATTTGGCCTTTCTCCCTTAGACAGGGAAATAACTTTAGGAAGGAAAACTGAAGCTTCAGTGAATACATGCATATGTCTTCTCTACCTGGCATAGAAGTGCCCTTGAAGAGGAAGGAGGCTTTTGCATGAGTCTTTAAGATGTGAAATGGAAAGAGAAGGGAAATGGCAATTCATTACTTGAGGAATGAGTCAGTGGGCTGACTTTGTCAGTAGCTTTGGCTTTTTGACAAAGTGAAATTTCCATGTCCATGGAGTTCTATTGTATTGCCAAATAAAAGTAAGTATTGTTAAATTCTGAGGAAAATCTATTGTCTGTACTTTTTTTTTTTTTTACTGTCTTTTATTTTGTTTTTCATTTTTAGGTTACCTTTTAAATTCCAGTAGCTAACCTAGGAGAGTGTGTATGGTATACATAGTTGTGAGGTGTCAGTCTTGTCATTGTTTGGAAGAAATTTCGGTTTTTTTTAATTAATACTGATGGTAACCCTATTTCTGTTTATCTGTTCTATTTATTTATTTACTTTCTCTTCTTATTCAGCTGGCTTTAGCAATAGCAGACCTTGCCCTACAGATGCCTTCATGGAAGGGGTGTGTACAAACATTGGTGGAAAAGTAAGTAACTTATATTGACTGTATGTTAGCATTTGGGATTACTATTAACCTACACAGAGAAATTTGTTAGCAATAGCTAGACATTTCTACTATTTCCCCAAACTCTTATTATAGAATTATTTATTATTAACCGTTGATAGATTAAAAGAAAATAATTTAAAATTTAAATACTATAAAAATATGTCATGTGGAGCATAAGACCCTCATAATTTACACACACACACATCACCTGAATTAACTGCAGCAAAGTCTTTTCATTGCCTCATAGATCACTCTCATTGATAAATCAGCAAATCTATAAAAATATTTTAGAATGTTTAAGATGATATTAAATTGAAAATTGTTGTGAGTATACGTTCTTACGTGCTTGCTGATGTGGCCGTGGCCGCGGCTCTTGTGGCCGCGAAGTTTTCGGGTCTTCCTCCGTCTGGATGGCATGTCAGTGGCCGAGCTGCAAGAGCTTGGCAACATGATCTTGAAATTTGTTTGCATTTTGGCATTTGGTCAGGAAATTATTTTTGAACTTAGTGGATGTCCTTTTTACCTCCAAGCATAGTGTGTCATTAAAGACTTTATATGGATAGTTTATTTTATTTCAAAGTAAAAAGCAAACACTTTTTTTTTTCCTTATTCCTATATTTCATATTAATGTTTGGCTATATAGCCCTCTAGATTTTCCTTTAAGCATTTTATAATAAATAAGAGTACACAGCCAAAACCGATTTGGCTCAGTGGATAGAGCGTCAGCCTGCGGACTGAAAGGTCCCGGGTTCGATTCTGGTTAAGGGCATGTACCTTGGATGCGGGCACATCCCCAGTAAGGGGTGTGTAGGAGGCAGCTGATCGATGTTTCTCTCTCATTGATGTTCTAGCTCTTTATCACTCATTCTTCCTCTCTGTAAAAAATTAATAAAATATATTTTTTAAAAATCAATAAAATATATATTTTTTAAAAAGAGTACACATATTTTATTATACATATCATATATATGTATTTGTTCACTCATGTAATATATTTTGTATACTTTTAATACTTAGTACATTGTGGATATCTTTTCCTGTTATGACATAGATAGGTATCTCATTATAATGGCTATGTATGTTCCATTGTATAACTTGGAACCTTTTTTATCTTGTTTAATTATGAGGGACCTTCATGTTTTCACAATATTTTTTCTGTTATAAAGAAGTATTGCAGGGCACATCTTTGTATGCACCTATGAGATTTTTCTGAGAAATAATTCTGGAAGTAGAATTGTTGGGTCAAAGATTATGCAAGTTGAAATTTTGTTCTTCAGATACCCTTCAAAAGTTATATCTATTTTTTTCTTTTCTTTAATAGTAGTGAGAATGTTGCTTTTGTTGTCATAGGTTATTTTGATGGTTCTTGTTACCTTATGTGATTATGTCCTTTCTGACTCTAAGTAACTTACATCTCTTCTTTCTTTTCTAGATATAGCAATGATGTAACTTCTCTGCCTTTTCTGCTGGAGATCCTTACAGTGTTACCTGAAGAAGTACATAGTCGTTCGTTACGAATTGGAGCTAATCGACGCACAGAAATTATAGAAGATTTGGCCTTCTACTCTAGTACAGTGGTATCTCTATTGGTAAGTAGGTTTGAAATATGAAGTTGCTGCATAGGAGCAAAAAGCCATGGTGGTTATTTTGTTTTTCAGTTTCATTATAGTAAAACTTCGATATAACAGACTAATTTGGGCAAGGGGGTGTCCATCCATCCATTAAAGCTGAAAGTCCAATATATAATAAAGTAGGTATTCCAAATGTATATGTTAAAAAATTGATTTTTAGAGAGAGTGGAAGAGAAAGGAAAAGACATTGAGAAATATGTAAGAGAAACATTGATTAGTTGCCTCCTGCACATGCCCTGATCAGGACCTGGGCTGGGAAGAGCCTGCAACCAAGGTACATACCCTTGACCAGAATTGAAACTGGGGCCCTTTGGCGACACTTTATGCATTGAACAGAGCCAAACTGTCTAGGGCTATTATGATTCTTTTCAAAAATATATTATTTATTGATTTCAGAGAAAAATAGAGATAGAAATATCAATGATAAGAGAGAATCATTGACTGGCTGCCTCCTGCAGTGGGGATCAAGCCTGCAACATGGGCATGTGCCCTGATCAGGAATTGAGCCATGACCTCCTGGTTCATGGATGGACACTCAACCATTGAGCAACACTGGCCAGGCAGTTATTATGATTCTTAATCATAGTCTCTCCTCCCCTTTTTCAAAATGACACTGATTTGTTGAAGAGATTGGACTAGAAGGTAAGGTATTTTATTTTCTGATTGTTTTGTCTTTGTTTCATTTAGCTTGTTTTTCTGCTCTCTGTAAGTCCTATATTTGGAAGTTGTAGCCAAAGCCAGACTTAATTCATAGGGATTCTTCAAGAGAATTAAGCCTTAATGATGTTAATGCACCCATTGTATGTAATGAATTTTCCAATGCATTAATAATAGTACCAACTATATATCATCCTTAGGATAATTGAGGAAATAGTCACTAAAACCATTTTCTGCGGGACTTAATTCTTTCCCAGAACCCTAATTGAGAAAGGCTTGATGGGTTAATTTTAAAGCTTAAATATTTTTTACTAGAACACATCACAGATACTTCATGTACATCTTATCAGAATATAAATACTCATTACTGATGCTAGGATTGACTGGATTAAGATGGTGACAGTCTGATTTCTCAATTATAAACTTTGTCTTCCTCTTGTAATGCAATTTGTTTGATGGTAATTTATTATTTTACAAGTGCCCATTCCATGTCAAATTTTGCCTTATGTTTTAAACTCTAGTTTATAATTGTTGCCACTTTAATTATGACTTGCCAAATAGTATTTTATTAATTGTACTAGGGGCCTGATGCACAAAGATTCATGCAAGATTGGGCCTTCCTTACTCTGGCTGCCTGCCTGCCTTGGCTCTGGTCAGAGCTGCCTTTCGCTCCGCCCGGAGCCACCTTTCTGTCTTCCCATGAGGCCCGGAGTGGCTGGGGCGGTGCGGATCCCACCCAGCCACCAGCCACTCGGTACCTGTGTATGCAAATTAACTTGCCATCTTTGTTGGGATAATTTGCATATTCCTGATTGGCTGGTGAGCTTCATAAAGGAATGGTCAATTTGCATCTTACTCTTTTATTAGTGTAGATAATTCTACATATTAGTTGGCAATCTCCTGAGTTTCTATTAGAAAGTCAAAATATCTTTTTTTATATATAATAAATCTTTATTGTTCAGATTATTACAGATGTTCCTTTTTTTCCCCCCAAAGCTCCCTTCCACCTGATTCCCACCCCACGCTATGCCCTTACCCCCTGCCACGGTTTTCATCCATAGGTGTAAGATTTTTGTCCAATCTCTTCCTGCACCCTTCAGACCCTCTTCTCCCTGAGAATTGTCAGTCCACTCCCTTTCTATGTCTCTCTGATTCTATTATATTCACCAGTCCATTCTGTTCTTCAGATTTTTTATTCACTTGATTTTTAGATTCACTTGTTGGTAGCTATGTATTGGATGTCTTTTTGTTGTTCATAGTTTTTACCTTTATCTTTTTCTTCTTCCTCTTAAAGAATACCCTTCAGCATTTCATGTAATCCTGGTTTGGTGGTGAACTCCTTTAGCTTTTCTTATCTGCGAAGCTCTTTATCTGACCTTCAATTCTGAATGATAACTTTGCTGGGTAGAGTAATCTTGGTTATAGTTCTTGCTGTTCATCACTTTGAATATTTCTTGCCACTCCCTTCTGGCCTGCATAGTTTCTGTTGAAAAATTAGCTGACAGTCATATGGGTTCTCTCTTGCAAGTAACTAGCTGTTTTTCTCTTGCTGCTTTCAAGATTCTCTCTTTGTCTTTTGCCCTTGGCATTTTAATTATGATTGTCTTGGTATGGTCCTCTTTGGATTCTTCTTGTTTCTGGTTCTGTGTGCTTCCTGGACTTGTAAGTCTATTTCTTTCACCAGGTTGGGAAAGTTTTCTGTCATTATTTCTTTCAATACGCCTTCGATATTCTGCTCTCTCTCTTGTTCTGGCACCCCAGAAATCCAGATGTTGGTATACTTAAAGCTGTCCCAGAGCTCCTTACACTATCCTCACACTTTTGGATTCTTCTTTCTTTCTGCCTCTCTGGGTGTTTTTTATTTCCTCATATTCCAGATGTTTGGTTTGACTCAAGGTACATTGATCTACAGTTGAGTTTCTGTATATTCTTTATTTCAGACAGTGTATATTTTATTTCTGACTAGTCCTTTTCCATTTTTTGCTATTATCATTAAGGCCCTTAAAGGTCTCTTCACGTTTCTCAGCAGTTTTTAGAAGATTCTTGAGTAACCTTATAAATGTGATTCTGAACTGTGTCATTCAGTAGTTTACTTTCCTCTATCTCTTCCATTCGTGACATACTTCTGTGTCTCCGTATTTTGGTTGCCTCCCTATGTTGATGGAGTGTGGCTTTGTGTGGTAGGTGACCTATAGGGGCCAGTAGCTCAGCTTCCCCAAAGGTATACCCCTTTGTGGGCTGAGTGCAAAGTCTTGGTGTAGTTAAGCCTTGTTTGCTGTTGGTACACTGGGAGGAACTGACCTCTAGGCCAACTGGCTGTGAGGACCTGCTGTGTCTATAATGAAAGAACTGCTGCACTAGAGACATGCTTATGGTGCAGGCCTTGTTTCAGTGGGGCTTTGGTGCTCACTGAGTCTGCCTCCCAAATGTGACACTTATGGGTGTGAGGAGTTGAAATCTGATGTCTCACACACTGACCATTAGATACACTGGCTTCTGGATCTCCAGTGGGGTGAAATTCAGCTCCTATCTGACGTTACCCTGCAGGAGCTACAGGGAGAACCACAGTCCTCTCCTTCCTGATTGGAGCTTGGAGTCTTTGGAGCTGTCTGCACGAGGTTGCAAGTTTGCTAGGTTAAACTGCAATAGAGAAGGCCATTCATATGCAAAAGCCACGTGGATGTGTTTGTAGATTGTGTGGGCGGAGTCTTAGGGCGTCAATAGGCTAGGGTGTGGCAAACAGCGATGGTTGCCAGTCAGCCGTCTCTGCCTCTCTGACCTGCGCCCTAGGACAGCAAACAATTATTTTTGTGCGCAGCTCTATACGCAAGCCACCCTCACTTTTCGACCCAATGGCAGACAGTCCAGCTTCTTTCCAGAAACTGGATTTCAGAGAGATTGGGAGCTTATCTCTCTTCGGGTTGAAGAAAGCAATGCCCTCCTCCAGCCTGTATCGCTAGAGGGATGTCTGTCTCCCTGACTGGGATGGGGCTTAAGTAGGTAGTCAGACATTCTTCTCACAATCCAGGACTACTGGCTCCAACTGCTCGCCTACCTGCTTTCCTGATTGAGCCTAACCACTCCCCTGCCAGCCTGATTGATGACTAACTGCTCCCCTGCCAGCCTGTTTGCCCCCAACTTCCCTCCTCTGCCAGACTGGTTACCCCCAACTGTCCTACTCTGCAGGCTTAATTTCCCCCAACAGCGGTCCCTTGCAGGCCTGGTCCCTCCCAACTGCCCTCCCCTACTGACCATCTTATAGCTGCTATCTTGTATCCACCTGGAGGCAGCCATCTTTGACCACATGGGGGCAGCCATCCTTTGTGTGGGAGTGATGGTCAGTTTGCATATTACTCTTTTATTGGATAGGATATAGGCCATATATCCTATCTAATATATCTACATATCACTATCTATATAGTGATGGTGGGGGCTAGCTGGTTTGCTCTGAAGGGTGTCCTGGATCAGGGTGGGGGTTCCCTTGGGGTGTGGTGCAGCCTGGGCAAAAGACCTGTGGTGGTTTGCAGGCCGGCCACACCCCCCGGCGACCCAAGCAGAGGCCCTGGTATCTGGGATTTATTTATCTTTTATAATTGAAACTTTGTAGCCTTGAGGGTAATCAGGACTCCTGCTTGCTCCATGGCCACAGCCATTTTTGTTGGGAATTATTTATCTTCTGTAATTGAAACTTTGTAGCCTTGAGTAGAGGACTGGGCTGGCCAGGATGTGCGGAAAGCTTGGCTTCCTCCATCACCAGGGGCAACCCAAGCCTCCTGTTCACAGTCATCTTGGCTGGCTTAATTTGCATACTTGCTCCTGATTGGCTGATGGGAATGACTTGTGAGTATGGCAGAGTGATGGTTAATTTGCATATTACTCTTTTATTAGATGGATTATTGCCTGATACTGCAAACATAAAGGGGGGCATGGCTACCTAGAAGTATAAGTGCCAGCATTTAGGTCATATGGGATTCCATATACCCTATACCTCCAAAACTCATGGCAATTATGATGGAAATGTTATTTATTATTTTGTTATTGTTGTCAATCCTCACCCAAGGATATTTTCCCATTGATTTTTTTTTAGAGAGAGTGGAAGGGAGGGGGAGAGACAGAGAGAAATATCCATGTGAGAGTGATGCATCGATTGGTTGCTTCCAGCACAAGGATCAAGTCTGCAACCAAGGTACATGCTTTGATCAGAATCGAACCCAGGACCCTTCAGTTCACAGGCCTATGCTCTGTCCACTGAGCCAAACCACTTAGGGATGTAAATGTTATATTTAAACACTTTTTTTTTTTTTTTGGTTATTAAATTTATTATATTGCATTTACAAAGAAAACAGACAATGCATCTAGTAGAAAGAATAAAAATGTAATCAGGATTTTATTTTTAACTGACAGCAAACAGAAATTCTTTAGTGAGATCTTGACAATTTGACAGTATTATGATTAAGTTCAATAAACATCCATGATGTATACTTGGAAGATCAAATTCTACAGCTGCCTCTTTCTACAACTTCTACTTCATCTCGACCTTTAAATGATAGGGAAAGCCCTTATTTTATGAGAAACATTTCCAAAATGAAGTTATATGTTTTTCTACTATTAGTTCATGTCAGTTGTTGAAATAGGGCCTTCTATTTTATGTTTTGGTTATTTCCCTTACTATCATTATCAGAATTTCTGTAATTCCACAGTTGTAATTTAAAACTTTCTGTCCAGAAAAAGTTAAATTACACTTCACTTTGGAAAATTATATATCACAAAAACAGTTTGCAAAGAGAAGCAATAATGAGTTTTAGCCTAACTTTAAAAAAATCTTTTATAAACTATCACATTTATAGTATTGCCAGTCTCAGTGAAATGGCATATTTACTTGAGTATAAGTGCTTAAGCTGAAATATCAGCTTTTCATATGGGAATATACAGTAGTAGTATGATTAACTTATTTCTATTTTATAAAATCAACCATAGATGAGTATTACTTTAAAGACAGTTCTACTGATAAGATTATATTAATGCACAAATGGGATCTAAGAAACGGTTATTTGTAAGACATCTCTATCTTTTGGCAAGTGTATAATCTCTTTGTATCTCAGCTTCCCAAGTGAGATAATCATAGTACCAGCTATAGAGTTTTAGTGGGGATTAAGTGAATTAAAAGTGTTGAGAACAAAGTCTAAAGCACTTCTGTTAGCTTTTACTGTTTTCATCCTTTTCATTACATCTGTGAGGTGATTATCTTAAATATAAAGATTTTTTTTTCTCCTTATTTTCAGATGACCTGTGTAGAAAAAGCAGGAACAGATGAAAAAATGCTCATGAAGGTCTTTCGATGTTTGGGAAGTTGGTTTAACCTAGGCGTTTTAGACAGTAACTTCATGGCTAACAATAAGTTACTAGCACTCCTTTTTGAGGTTTTGGTAAGTAATGGCTTTTTTTATTAAAGTATTACTGCCACATATCCACAGTAACTAACATTCTGGGACATAACAGTGTTCTCATATTTCTGAAAAGTGATTGGAAGAAAAAGAAAAGCACAAGTATAAAATAGATATTTGCAGGTGGGAGTGACTTTTTCTTCTTTTTTCCGATGCTTTTCTTACATGAAGACATATTAGTATGTGCCAGGTTTCTTGTCCCAGCATTAACACTGGGTGCTGTAATCTGGAGAAAGGAGCTAATGTGTAGATTCAAGAAGGAGTCCAAAGATGAAAGATAATTTTGAAAAGCATTAGGGGTCAGGAGAGCTTCAGCTAAAGGAACTGAAGACTACCCCTTGTCTAAGAACTCCGTGCTATTTATTAACACGATTTGTCCTGAGGCAAGGTGGAGACATACACTTCAAAGGGTAAGATTTCAAAGGGTAGGGTACTGAAGCATTGTCAGTTTGGGGAATAGTCTATAGCTATACAGGTGTTTGGCCAACAGGAGGCAATAAAATGCCTTGAGCTGTCTGGCAGCAAGCGATTATACTAATCAGGTGTGGGGGAAGTGCCGTTTAGCCAGTTCCAATAGATAATTACATTTTTGGCTCAGCCCTTGTTCAGTCTCCAAACTTCACCAACCTTTTGGTGAAATTCTTGTAATTATTACATGCTGGAATTGGTTCCCGGAAGTATGGACTCTCTGTGCTTAATGGTTGTGTGCTGGTATACATTAATTGGCTGCCTCCTGCACACCCCTTACTGGGGATCAAGCCCACAACCCAGGCATGTGCCCTGACTGGGAATTGAACTGGTGACCTCTTGGTTCATGGTCAACGCTCAACCACTAAGTTACCCTGGCTGGGCGAGTAAAATAATTATTTTCCTTCAAAATTTTCAAGGGCTCTTGTATACTGGCAAACATCATTGCTAATGATGAAGCTGGGTAACTGATTTTTGCTTCATCTTTGCTAATGATGAAACTGGATAACTGGTTTTGCTCCTTTCTAAGTTACCTTCTCCTCTCTTCCCCAGAAGTTTTAAGAACCTCTCTTTAACCTTGATATTCTGAAATATCATGTTGATGTTATTTATGGGTCTCTGATAATTATTGGATCCTTTCATTTTAGATAGTACTTAAATGTCAGAAAAAGGATGGAAAAATTTTCAGAGAATAAATAGGGCAGGAATAAATAGGGCATTTATAGAGAATAAATCGGAGGGACTGATAAGGAAAACATGGGTTTTAGAAGTGATGTGTTCATGATTGAGGTACAAAAAGACTGACTTGCTTGGCATATAGGGAAATCTCAATAGCATTGAGAAAATTGATGGATATTGTCTCATTGAAGACCATGATTATCAGGCTTTAGCCATGTAAATTACATGTTCAGAAACAGGCTATAATTGTTTACATATTAATTGAATTATAGCTTAATGATCATACTTCTACCCTATTCCTGTTTCCCAGCAACAGGATAAGACCTCATCCAACCTACATGAAGCTGCTTCAGATTGTGTGTGCTCAGCTCTCTATGCCATTGAGAATGTGGAGACTAACTTGCCATTAGCCATGCAACTGTTTCAAGGAGTCCTGACATTGGAGACTGCCTATCATATGGCTGTGGCACGCGAAGATTTAGATAAGTGAGTATTTAAGGCAGTAGCCCTGGATTCACACACAGTCTGGTGTTCTTTTTATAATTTATCTATTCTTTGTGACTCTTTGTAACTGTAAATGCACACTTTGTATCCTAAAGATGCTCTTCTGTTTTCATCTGACCTGGAGTGGCAAATTGGATGCAGAAGGAAAAGTTGTAATCATAGAAAGTCGTAATTTTTTATGCTTAAAAGGAGCAAGGCTCTAAAAATTAGGGATGAACTTTGAAGTATCATGTGATTTTGATGGGAATTTTTTGCAGATGTTTAGTAATTGAGAATTTGAACTACTTATGAGTCATTTACTTATATGTATAAAAGTATTTGAGGTAAAAATAGTGGATGTCATGGAGATTGGAGTACAGCATAGCAAATAATCATTTGGGCTGAGGATAATTTTCTTTATTTGAATAACTATTGGTGAATATTTACATAAAACACCAAGATTTCTGACTTGGTATTCTTATTTCTCTTTCATTTACAGAGTTCTGAATTACTGTCGGATTTTTACTGAACTATGTGAAACTTTTCTTGAAAAAATTGTTTGTACTCCAGGCCAAGGTCTTGGGGATCTGCGAACTCTAGAACTGCTTCTTATTTGTGCAGGACATCCTCAATATGAGGTAGTGTTTATACTATGCTAAAGCATTTTTCTCCAAGTTTTATGTTGTACATTATTTATATTCTCTTGTTTCCCACCCAGCTTTATATTAATGGGAAATAAAAGTCTTATTTTTAATTGATCTGATGTGGGGGTTGCCTCTGTATTGGATTTTTTAAAAAATTAATTACATTTGGGCTTCTTCTTTTGAATCCTTTTCTATTTTTTTACCTGGTTAGCTGAACTAACTGGTATATGTACTTCAATGAGGCAGTTAGAAAGAAAGCCCACTATCTTTCTGCTGAGCTCCCTATTTCTCTGTAGTTATTCTTTAGAGTTTTACAGCTAAAAGAAAACACCACCAAATCTTAAGTACACCTCCAAAAATCTTAACATCCAAAATTTGTCTCCAGATTATGAATGGGAATGAGAAAAGGATTAAAACGACTTAAAGAGTCTCCTTCATTCTAAAATTTGGTGTAAGAGACCTTACCTCTTTTAAGTTTGCTAGATTAAAAAAAACATTTCATTTAAGTAATTTTATCTTCTCTTAATTGTGTAAGAAGTGGCAAAAAACTCCCAAGTTGGGTATTACTTTAAATAGTTCTATTTTGTATCCTTGATGGGAAAAGTATGATATAGAGCCCCTCTTAGGGAGGTCACAATAATCCTGTTAATTTTCAACCCTTTTTTTAAAAAAATATATTTTATTGATATTTTACAGAGAGGAAGGGAGAGAGATAGAGAGCTAGAAACATCGATGAGAGAGAAACATCGACCAGCTGCCTCTTGCACACCCCCTACCAGGGATGTGCCTGCAACCAATATAGATGCCCTGGACTGGAATCGAACCTGGGACCTTTCAGTCCGCAGACCAATGCTCTACCACTGAGCCAAACCGGTTTCGGCTGGAGCATCATTCTGATACACCAAGGATGCCGGTCAATTTCCAGTTGGAGCACATATAAGAGAACCAATGAATTGCATATATAAGTAGAACAACAAGTTGATATTTCTCTCTCTCTCTCTCTCTCTCTCTCTCTCTCTCTGTCTCTCTGTCTCTCTGTCTCTCTCTCTGAAAATCGGTTTTTTAAAAACCAGTTAAAACATTTTTGGGCTGGTCAAGATGATTGCATAGGTAAATGCTGGACTCTCCACCTCTCACAACCACATCAAAATTTCAACTAAAATACCAAACAACCATCATTCAGATCCATCTGAAATCTAGCTGAATGCAAGTCCTATACTAGGGAATTAAAGAAGAAGCACATCGAGACTTGTAGGAGGGGTGGAATTGCAGAACCAGTTGGTCCCATTTCTACGTGTGGTGGTTTAAAATGGGAGGGATGTCTTGGCTGTGGAGGTTTCCCTAAGCCTTAGGGCCTAAGGAGTGATGGGTCCCAGCACCACACTAGGTTCTACAGCCCAGGGTTCCAGTATCAGGAAGAGAAGTCTCCATAATTTCTGGCTGTAAAAACCAGCAGGGATTGTGGCTAAGTGACATGGAGGCTTACTGGTCTCAGGCAGTTCCTCTTAAAGGACCCTCTTACTCAGACTCATTTCCTCCTAGCTCCAGCACTGGGCAGCAGCTTGAAAGGAACCTGGGACATTCAGGAAGGAACTACAATAACTTGCCTGGAATCAGGGCAAGAGCTGGAGGGGCAGCTTTCTCCCAGACAGAAGTTCTAGCAGAGGCTATTGTTCCTTTGATGAGCCCTCTGCACCACAAAGCTGGCAGGCACAACACCATATCTGTATCTTCATCAACCTGGCTCACACTATTTAGCACATCTTGGTGATTTCCTAAGATCCTGCTCCTCCCTACTTGCATGCTCATCCAAGCCATTTCCAGTGGCTTTTCCATACAACTGTTCTATCTTGCCTCATGCTACAGACTTTGCTAAAATTTCTCAAACAAGCAGCATCATACCTCTCAATAAGAGGCCCCAGGTCTGGCATTAGTGGCAGCCTGTCTTGGTTCATAGCATGGCTCTCCTGGGCACCTCCAAACCCAACACAAGTAGCAGCCATATGCAGATTGCTTTGTAGCTAATGCTGGGTGGACCCGTGTAGAGGGCATAGGCAGTGGTTGACTTTGCACCTCCCAGTGGCTCCAGAGCCAGCAATGCACCTAGTGGTCAACTTCATCAATGCTGGATTACAACCCTAATACTGCCAAGGGTGACACACTCAAGTGACAAATGCACTAAAAGCAAGTCCTGTTCCATAGGGTCAGCATCTGCACAGCTCACACAGGGAGGCACCTGGATTGCCCAGCTCAGATGACTTGGAAAGCTGAGCCACTAGGCCCTACAGGACACCTACTACACAAGGCATCCAAGAGACATAGCAGATCTACCTAATACTTAGAAACAAGCAGAGGGAAGCAGACAAATTGTAGAGACAAAGAAACATGCCACAAATGAAAGAACAGGAGAACTCTCCAGAAAAAGAACTAAATGAAATGGAAGCAAGAAAACTACCAGATACAGAGTTTGAAACAGTTATAAGGATGCTCAAGTAACTTACTGAGAACTTCAAGAAACTTAGTGAGAACATCAGCAACATAAAAAAAACCAGCCAGAAATGAAGGATACGCTCACTGAAATGAAGAATAATTTGCAGAGAATCAGCAGTAGAGTAGAGGATACTAAGAATCAAATAAAAAAATTAGAATATCAGCAAGCAAAAACACCCAATCAGAGCAAAAAGAATAAAAAAATATGAAGATAGTATAAGGAGTCTCTGAGACAACTTCAAGCATACCAACAATCACATCATGGGGGTGTTGGAAGGAGAAAGAAAATGAAAACCTATTTGAAAAAATAGTAACAGAACTTCCCTTAACCTGGTGAAATAAATAAATATACAAGTCCAGGAAGCACAGGATCCCAAACAAGATGAACCCAAAGTGACCTATATCGGAACACATCATAATTAAAATGCCAAAGATTAAAGACAACTGTGGGGGGGAGTGTGTGTGTTTTCCCCAGAGAGGAAGGGAGAGAGGGGAAAGATAAAAGCATTAGTGATATCAGTGATGAGAATCATTGATTGACTGCCTCCAGCATGCCCCCTATAGGGGATTGAGACTAACCTGGGCATGTGCCCTGACGGAATCGGTTCATAGGTTGATGCTCTACCATTGAGCCACACCAGCTGGGCCAAAGAGAGGATCTTAAAAGCAGCAAGAGAAAAGCAGTTAGTTACCTACAAGGGAGTTGCCCATATGACTGTCAGCTGATTTCTCAACAGACACTTTGCAGGCCAGAAGGGAGCGGCACAAGATATTCAAAGAAATGAAAAGCAAGTACCTAAACAAGATTAATATACCCAGCAAAACTATCATTTAGAATTGAGAGACTTATAAAGAGATTTCTAGTCAAGAAAAAGCTAAAGGAGTTCATCACCACTAAACCAGAATTACATAAAAAATAAAGGGTCTTGCCCTCGCCGGTTTTGCTCAGTAGATAGACCGTCAGCCTGCAGACTAAAGGGTCCCAGGTTCAACTCTGGTCAAGGGCACATGCCCGAGTTGTGGGCTCAGTCCCCAGTAAGGAGCATGCAGGAGGTAGCCGATCAATGATTCTCTCTTACCGATGTTTCTATCTCTCCCTCTCCCTTCCTCTAAAATCAATTTAAAAAATTAATAAATAAAGTGTCTTCTTGAAGAAGAAGAAAGGAGGAGGAGGAGGAGAAGGAGAAGGAGAAGGGGGAAAGGAAGGATGATGGTCAAGAATAGGAATAATAAAATGGCAATAGATAATGTATATATCAACAATTGAATCTAAGAAAATAAGCAAAAGAGAGATACAGACAACATCTTGACAGTTGTGATATGGGAGAGAGGTTGAATAAGGTGAAGGATTTAAAAGTACAAATTAATCATAGCCCATGGACAAAGACAATAGACAGGTGAAGGCCTGGAATGGGCTGGGAGAGGAGAGGAAGGGAGCAAAGGGAGAGAGTGGAGGACATATGTAATAAATACTCTCAACAACAAAATAATTTTTAAAAAATAAAATGAAATAAAACTTTTGGGAGGTAGTATAGCACTACATATTATTATAACTTCTTTAAACAGTGCTATAAGTAAGATAAGCTTTGGATAAAATCTGTTTCCCCTTTCCCACTCAAGAAATCAAGTGAATAAAAGTGATATAAGGTTGGTAAGTATAGGGATACTTGCAGATGGTTTGTCTTGTTATAGGTTCTCTAATCTCAAATATGAAATGAAATGATTTCAGAATTTGGTGAAAAATACTTGAAGGGATTTCCACTTTTCTATCTGCTTCTCTAAATTCAGAATCTAATATACTGTTGGAGAAGTTATCTAGGGTAAATAGGAAATGTAAAGCCATCTCTAAAAGGATTTTGGGATCTGATATGAGAAGATAATTTGGGAGGAGGATAATAAATCTACTAGAAAAAAAGTGGTTTCTTAATTGATTCCACTTAAAAATATATCTTGTTTCCTACATTGCCCTAATAATAATAAAACTCATTCCATTTCATTTCCCTTTCTCTAATAGGTAGTAGAAATTTCCTTTAACTTTTGGTACCGACTAGGGGAGCATTTGTACAAAACTAACGACGAAGTTATTCATGGCATCTTCAAAGCTTACATTCAGAGGCTACTTCATGCCTTGGCTCGACACTGCCAGCTAGAACCAGACCATGTAAGTTCTTTTCTCTATTCTTTAAATCTTAATTTCCTCCTCTTTTTAATATTGTTTTGAAGAGGAACTTTTGACAATTAAAGCTAATGAAATGTGTGAAGGTTTTCTATCACTAGCTTAAACTGAAGAAATCAGTATCAGTATATTGAAGAGTATTAGGTCTGCGTACAAAGAAATTAAGTCTGCTGAGCCAGTAATTCTGGGAATTTACCTTAAATTTTGCAGAAGAAAAAGGAGCTACTTTATAAAAAGCACTATCTATTTAAAAAACAAAAAAAGGTAAACCATTTACAACAGTGTATGAAGAGTTGTATCAATTATGATGTAGTACCTTAATGTAACAATTAAAAATAAGTAACTATTGATATTGTACCATTATGTAACAATTAAAAATAAGTAACTATTGATATTGATATTGATAGCTGGTATGCTAAAAAAAAAATTCAGAATGCATTGGTTGGATTAAAACTAATGCGAAAGTTAAATATTTTTTATTTTTATGAGGATATGGAGAATAATATGATTTCCCTCCCACATACATACATGTTTTTATTTATATTATTTATATGATTTTTAAAGGAAATTTAGAAATAATTTATTTGCTTAGAAGTATACTAGGAATATTATCAAATAGCTGTTCAAAAACTCTTCAATTTCTATTCTTTGCATAGTCTCTTCAAATTTTACAGCATTTATTTCATCCTTTGAGTTGGTTGGTTGGTTTAATCCCTGTATTCTAACTTAGGACTTAGAGTGAGGATTTTTTTTCCCCATTGCTTACAATTAAATCTGACATGAAAACTGTCTATTCTGTTCATTTTAATGTTAACATTGTTTGAGTCATGATATTTTGTGTCTCTACAGAACCTTAATGATGATTTAGTCTAGTGGTTTTCAATGCTTTTTTAAACTGATGAATGCTATCTTTAACTACATTGTACTTAGAAGCCTGATAATGTAAATAAAAGCAGGTTGCTCTGGTTTATATGACTACTTGATTCCTTTCTTCCCTTTGCTAGTTCTGTGGCACCATTTCCCTTGTAGTTAATTTTCTATACTAGTTAGGTGTATAGTGTTTTATCTCACCTGAGACAGCCATCATTTCCTTTCCTCCTTATTCCTTCACGTTTATTGATTTGTTCATATTACAGTAAGGAGGTTGAAACACATCAGCAATTCTCAGTAGTCCTAAGGGCTTTTTTCACATTTCATGTTCCAAGATTCTTATATATGCCCTTAACCACTTCATGATTGGGTAAGCCTTTGTTTACTCAGAGAAGTGTGTTGGAATAAGAAATATTTAAGAAACATTGAAATGTAAATGATTTCTATTTTTTAATGAAAATTTTCAAGTATGTAGCAAAGGTGAAATGATTTTGTTAGTGAATATCTGTATATCTACTACCTAAATTCTACGATTAATATTTTACTATACTTGTTTTATTATGTCTGTTAACATATTCAAAATTCTTTTTAAATAATTTATTCTGTGACTAGATATTGGGATAATGGTTGATTTTAGTAGATCTTGAACCATAACATTTCAGAGGCTTATTCAGTACTAAAAAGCTAGAACTTATTTAAATGAATTTATAAGCTCTTGTATTACCACCTCTTCCAGATTACTTCCTACCTCCACCCCTTTAAAATGTTCTAACAATAGAGTAAGTTATAGCTTGGAAATGAAGAAGAAGAAAAAAGAAGAAGAAGAAAAAGATGTAGTAGAAGAGTTGATAAAGGTGGTTGATATGTTTTATTGACTTGAAATACCTAAATGTTTGGGGGACGATCTATAATAAAATATCCTTGTGATTTATCTTTTGTCCAATGGTCTTTCTCCCCCCCCCCCCTTTTTTTTTTCTTGACTGCATAGTGGTCAGTGAAAACATTTAAAACAAATGTTATTTGATTTGATATTTTAGGAGGGGGTTCCTGAGGAAACTGATGACTTTGGGGAGTTTCGAATGAGGGTATCAGACCTGGTGAAAGACTTGATTTTCCTGATTGGGTCTATGGAGTGTTTTGCTCAGGTAAGCTCATTTGGAGATTCTCACCAGTTTTAATGATAACTTTAATTATGTTCAATTCTGTATCTTCTATAAATGTTCCATTTTTTTCTTCAATCTCAATGGCTAAATAGGACAATAGATATGTAGGTGCCTAGCACACTGCCTGGCATATAGTAGCTATGTTTATTTACTATCTTATAAGCCAATTGCAGTCTGTGGATGGTTCAATTATAGTTTGCTCTGTGACGCTTGCTAATGAAAGTTATTCCACTTGTCCAGCTGGAATGGAAGATCATAGATAAACCTTAAAGCCCCAGGATACTTACAGGGAATTTAGACAGGAAAAATAGTAAGTTTCTCTGCTTTAATAATTATGTACCAACTCCTTCGATTCCTTTAGTTATTTGGCATTGTCTTTTGTCCATACTTATGGTTAGATTCCTGTGCAGTTTCATCCCAGAGGTGATTATACTAGAGCAGAAGAATTACAGTTCTGTGGTTTTCCTCACAATTAGTGAGTAACACTTTACCTCATAAGATTATGATCATCACCATTCCACATCACTTAACAGCGTAAGTTCAGGTGGCTTTCATATTGCTCGATCACACTCTTAAGATCTGAAATGCTAGTTTTGATGCTTTGTCAGCAATACTGAACTAACCTAATATTTTTGTAACCCATACATTTTGTGTATTTTGGGGGCATAATCTGATCTAGAAAGTGTTAATAAAACTATAACTATTTTTCTTTATATTAAGCTAGTGTGTTTATTGACCTAACTACAAAGGGTTGGGGATTTTTAGAAAGGACTAAGATCGCTACATCACAGACAGATGACCTGTGTTCAGATTTCAGTTCTCTTACTTTTCAGCAAGTTATAATACTTATTCTTTTGTGGGTTTTTTTTTTTTTTTTTTTTTTTTTTTTTTTTTGTGTGTGTGTGTGTGTGTGTGTGTGTGTCTGTGTGTGTGTGTTTAATCCTTATCTGAGGACATATTCTTTGATTTGGGAGAGAGGAGAAAGGAGAGAGACAGAGTTAGTTGCCTCCAGTACACACCTTGACAGGGGATCGAACCCGCTATCTAGGTACATGCCCTGACCTGGAATTGAACCTGCAACCTTTTTATTGTACAGGTTGATACTCCAACTGTGCCACCTGGCTGTTATTTATGATCTCCAGATCATAAATAAAGGGTTGTTCAAGATATTTTCTGTGGAACACCAGTCCCATGAGATATTCTTTGGCAAAAAAGGATCCATCATCAATTAAAATGGGGAAATGACTTAAATGATATATTAAAGGCTCTGTGAAGTCCTATACACTAGTTTTGTCTTACCTAGCAATGTCTGTTATTTGACTAAGAAATCTTATTTAGACTAACACCCAGAGTCACATTCCAGATGGATATACCCTGGGAAATTTCTGGATATCTCTGAAAATTCTACTTGGTCTCTCCACACCACCTCTTGTTTGGACATGGTATTGTGATAGGTCCCTTTAGACCGCTACTTTCTAGGAATTCAATCTGTGCTATAGTTTGATGTAGTCAATAGGAATGCAAAGCCAATGCATATATAGAGAATTTACATTGTGTCTCAATTTTAAGTGTGTTTATGTATTTATCAGTTGTTATCAGGACTAGGAAAAGACACTCACTAATATGTTTTGTTTTTTCTATAATATTCATTTTGTGGGAGCAGATAATAATCTTGGTATATTCTTGGGGACCTAAATGGGTTTATTTTAAATATTAAATTACTAGTTACTTGTAGATTAGTAATTAGTGAAGCTGTGAAAAATGAAAGTCATATTCTTTCCTGGCTCGGAGAGATATTTCAATTTAGAAATAAGGGGCTGGATTTATTGTAACTAACAGGGTTTTTTTTTGTTTTGTTTGTTTTGGAATTCTATTCTGTTTTCCTTTTAATGGATCCATAATCCACCTCTTCTTCTCTAGTTATATTCTACTCTGAAAGAAGGCAACCCACCCTGGGAGGTGACAGAAGCGGTTCTCTTTATCATGGCTGCTATAGCAAAGAGTGTTGATCCGTGAGTGTCTAATAAGTCTTTTGCTGGGAACTCTATCAAAGAAAGGAAAATTACACCATTTTTCTCATGTGATATATGCTTGGAAACTCTTAGAACATCTTCTGACTTCTAGAGTCTAGTCCAGAGTCATATGCATTGCTGATATCTAAGTTTTAACCACATTTCCCAGAGTTAAAATTACTTTGTTCTTGATGCTAAAATGCTGATTTATTTTTCTAACCGAGGTTCCTTTGTGAAAGTTGGTATAATCAAAAAATACTGTTCTCCTTTTTTTTTTGTCTTAGTCGTTTGTGAGTTTCAGAGAGGCAAGGCATAGGTACCATTTTACCAAATAGAGTAGCAAAATCTAAAATGTAATTGTTTTTGTTATTGCTTAGCATAGAAATTCTATTTATGATTTTAACATGAATCCTTAAAAACAGGTTACTTTGTGCTGTGAGTTTATAAGTTGGTGTTAATATTTGTCCAGTTTTCTTGTATTAAAATCAGATACCCCTTCAGTTGAGTTTTCCACCCAGGCCTTGAATGGGGAGATGGTGAAGGCATGTATTTGTAAAAAGTACAGTGCTTCTTTCTTATTTGCCTCGCAGGGCCTAGTCAGCTAAATCTTATATTGTTTCTAATTCAGTAAATGTTCAATGACACAATATGTTTGTTTTTCTATATTAAGAGGTTCTGGTCCTGAATTACATTCTATTCTATTTGCTCTTAAACCTATTTTGGTGTCTTTTGGAACCTTCAGTGACAGTCTGAAGATTATTAAAAATCACTAGTATTTTTTTTAATATATTTTTTTTTATTGATTTTTCACAGAGAGGAAGAGAGAGGGATAGAGAGTTAGAAACATCGATGAGAGAGAATCATCGATCAGCTGCCTCTTCTACACCTCCCCTGGGGATGTGCCCGCACCCAAGGTACATGCCCTTGCCCAGAATCGAACCCAGGACCTTTCAGTACGCAGGCTGATGCTCTATCCACTGAGCCAAACCGGTCCCGGCAAAAATCACTAATATTTTAACTGACACGTGTTGGTGTGAAAAAAGGTAAGAGTATCAGTAATAACTTTAGTGTCCCTGGGAAACAAGATTTTATTTTGTTTTTTATTTATCCACATCTCAAGCCATCTGCATGAGTGTAATTTTTTAATGTATATAAAGGACTAATAGACGTAGTTTATCAGCACGTAGTGCTCAATTCATAATATTATGTACATTTTAAACATCTTTTATTTCTGGATTATGTTCTACCACTTTGGAGGCATCCTCACTCTGCTTAAATAACTTTAGCTAGCATTCTTGGGGAGTGGGGGGAAAAAGATAAGAAAAAAGGAAAAAATAAATTCATGGAGCTGTGGAAAGTACTTGTTAACTTTAATTTTCCTTTACCTGTTCCTGCAACTTATATTCTTTTTGTTTGTTTATGTGATATATCATGTTTATTGATTTGTGAATATTGTACCATCCTTGCATCCCTGGAAAAAATCCCACTTGGTCATGGTGTATGATCTTTTTAAAATATTGCTGGAACCGATTTGCTAATATTTTGTTGAGAGTTTTAGCATTTATATTCATCAGGGATATTGGCCTTTAATTTTCTTTCTTCAACTTATATTCTTCTTGTTCCTTTAGTTAGTTAACTGGCTCACTCATGCTTAAGTGTTCTTAAAGTTTTTAGTATCCAGCTGTAAGAAATCTTTTGGAGAATAACAACTAATAAAAAGTGGTCTGTAAGAAATATTCATTCATTTACTTAGCCATTCAGCAATATTTGTTGAGTGCCCACTATGTGCCAGGCACTGTTCTAGGTGCTGCAGATATAGGAATAAATATAAAAGATTCTTTAAATGCAACCATAGTAAATGCCTGCCTCTCCAGTTTGAAGAGCCTTTTTTGGTAGCAGAATGTATCTTTAGACATTGACATTCTAAAGATTAAGGAGCAGTATGCTTCTTCTGAAACAGTTATATCTTCCATTTCTTTCTTTCCCCCCATTTCCTAGGATTTAAAAACCTTTCATATCAGGTGTTAAGTACTTTTATCCAAATGATAAATTATTTAGAAAGAAGCCCTTTAGCAATGATTTGTATCATTGCAGCCTGTTTCTTAGCCAAAACCTGATCTCTGAAATCAGGAACTCTGAGTGCTTGCCTTCTGTACACAGGGAGAACAATCCAACGCTTGTAGAGGTCCTAGAAGGAGTTGTCCGTCTCCCAGAGACTGTACATACAGCTGTGCGATACACCAGCATTGAATTGGTTGGAGAAATGAGCGAAGTGGTTGATCGAAATCCTCATTTCCTTGGTATGTGTGAACTCTGCCCTCAGCCACTGCTGTGTCTGATTTTTCTGATTTTCTTTCTTTCTCTTATGTTTGCTCTTGTTTTCTTGCATATTGCTAGGTAGAATGTTTCTAGGCACTGAAAGTAAATATTTTATGAGTTATTGCTTAGTTGACTTGCTTTATAGAAATTCACCTTTAAAACCCTTTTTTTGGAACACTTATATTTTGTAAAAAGTAGAATATGATGAATTAATTCTTCCAGAAGTACTAAAGATCCATCTGCATGTTTTAAGGCCCTTTGTAACTATAAAGAAGCAAGTATAAAAGTGTCAGTTTTAGATAACTATCATTGTTCTTATTAATGTCAGCTATTTTTACAAAGTGACTCACCTGTGAGTATATTGGTAGCTCTCTGAGCTTTACATTTTTCCTTATAGTCTTAACTAAAGGCCCGGTGCATGATTCGTGCACCAGTGGGGTCCCTCAGCCTGGCCTGCGGGGATTGGGCCGAAACTGGCTCTCTGACATCCCTCAAGAGGTCCCGGATTGCGAGAGGGCACAGGCCAGGTCAGGGGACCCCACTAGTGCACAAATCTCTGTACTGGACCTCTAGTATGCATATAAGGTCTTCCCACCCTCCTCCCCTCTCCCGAGATTCATCAGTCTGTCCCATGTTTCCATGCCTGTGGTTCCACTCCTGCATTGAACATCTGCCCCCTGGTGATCAGTGCACATCATAGCTACCAGTCCACCAGTTGGCTGGTCGCTTAGGCTTTTATACACCGAGTGGCCAGATTATTGTGATCTCTGAATGTATATTAATCTGGCCTCTCAGTGTATATCCTATATAATAAAAGGCTAATGTGCAAATTGTTCCCCAACCAGGAGTTTGACCAGCAGGCAGGCCCGCCAACAGCCCATGTTCCCTCCTCCTGGCCAGGCCGGCCAGACCCCATCCATACATGAATTTATGCACTGGGCCTCTAATATGTATATATTTATATACGCTGGGTGGCCAGATTATTATGCGTTCAGAGGTCATAATAATATGTCCACTCAGTGTATATATAGATACTTGGATGGTCATATCCACCAGTGGTTTCCAAACTGCTCTGTGAAGCACTAGCAACAAGCAGCATTTGATTGTCCATGAGGAAAGAGATGGGAAGATGACTAAGACTCAGGGCTCTCCATTTTTATGTTCTATATATTGAGGTTTGAACACATTTTATTTTTTAAAATGGTTCTTTTGCTTTAAAAAGAAAGAGAATGTAAACATCTATTATAGTAAACAAGAACTTTTCCTTAAGTTTCAAATATGTAATCTTTACCGTATGGTTTTTTTCCTTAGACCCTGTATTGGGCTATTTGATGAAAGGCCTGTGTGAAAAGCCTCTGGCTTCTGCTGCAGCCAAAGCCATTCATAACATTTGTTCTGTCTGCCGAGACCACATGGCTCAGCACTTTAATGGACTTCTGGAGATTGCCCGTTCCCTCGATTCCTTCATGTTGTCTCCAGAAGCTGCTGTGGGCTTGTTGAAAGGTATTTACTTATGATATTAACCAGGAACAGTCTCTTTTAAGCCACTTCTGAGGGTTATTGAGATATTATGACTAGGGGGGAAAAAGACTTAGAAGAGACTTTAAACATGATGCCTATTTTTAAATATTTAGAAGATTGTTATGAAAGCAAGAACATTTATGCTATGAGTAGTCAACTGTTGACAGTTTATTGACTCTTAGAAAATGCTTTCTAGCTAAACTTTCTGAAAACAAATGACTGTGAGGTAGTGAAATCCTTACAACTGGTGGTTGAGAACATATGGGAGTATATCAAATACAAAATTGGTAATAGGAACTGTGAGCATTTTTTAAGCCAGTGTGAGTGGCAAACAGCCTGGGCAATACTGGATGACCTTATGTGTGAGCTAGCTCTGTCCTTTGTCACCTCTATGACTAGGTTCCTTACTAGCCAGTATACCTGCGTTGTTTTAAAGACAGATTTTGTAGCATGGGTTTTTGTTGTTTCCCTTTGAATGCATAGGTAATAAGATATTAAGTTAGAGTCAGACATTCTTCATAACTACTATTGTGGTTATTGATGCCATCTTGTCATTTTCTAGAGAGATTTAACCTTTATGCTGAAGTGACATATGACCTGTAATAGAATGTGGCATCCCAGTCTAGACATAGAAAACTGTTTTTAGTTACAAACTGTTTAGTTCTGTAAGAATGAATTAAAAGAAACAATTATATTTAAGTTAGATTTTCACTTAAAATCTAATTTTAAACAAAAGTCTATATATCCATGGCTAATAGGCTGTCAGGAAGAATCATTCCGTTTTTTTATTCACATTTGAAGATTTATGGATTGATTTCTTTTTTTTTTTAATGAAATTTTAGAGATAATCAAGGAATTTTGGGCCTAGAAGGGATATCGTTTTACACATCAGCCTTTGAGTTTGGGGCGGGTGGGGGGGAGGTGCTTCCGCAGTTGATGGGGATTGTGAAAAGAGGGAGGCCAAGTCTCCACTTTAACCTAACTACCTCCCCCCCCCCAATCTATCTTATTAGAGCTCCAAGTTAAGATTTCATTTGGGGGAAATGTAAGGAAAGGGGCTTTTGCAACTATTTAAAAACAACAAAAAAGGCAGGCTTACTACTACTTTCCTGTTCAAAGCACTCATTTTATAGATAAAGAAATTGATGCCAGCTGAAACCAGTTTGGTTCATTGGATAGAGCGTCGGCCTGCGACTGAAAGGTCCCAGGTTCAATTCTGGTCAAGAGCATGTACCTTGGTTGCGGGCACATCCCCTAGAGGCAGCTGATCAAAGATTCTCTCTCATCGATGTTTCTGACTCTATTCCTCTCTCTTCCTCTCTGTAAAAAAAAAAAAAAAAAAAAAAAAAAGAATAAAATATATATATTAAAAAGAAAAAAGAAAGAAATTGATGCGCAGCAAGAATACTTTAGCCCCTTTCATAGATTCTGTTATGGTAGAAAAGAATTAAATCTCTAATTTCAGCCCATTCTTGTAAAAAAAAATATATTGTTTATATTTCTCCAATTTCTCTGATGATAAAAATTGCCCATGGGACTTATCAAAAATAAAGGTTCTCTATGACTTACTAAGTCAGGGTCTCGGGGAAGTTTTAGAGCTATTGTACTTTGCTATATAAAAATAGCTTTGGATCCAACACTCAGTGGTTGAGTGTTGACCCATGAACCAGGAGGTCAGAGTTCGATTACTGGTTAGGGCACATGCCTGGGTAGCTGACTCAATCCCCAGTAAGGGGAATGCAGTAGGCATCTGATCAATGATTTTCTCTCATCATTGATCCTCTCTCTCCCTCTTTCTCTCTCTGATATCAATAAGAATGTATTTTTTTTAAAAAAAGCTTTGGTATTGGCTTTGTAGAGGAGATTTTAAGTCTTGAAGGAATTGGAAGGGGAGATAAATTTAAACATCTTTAAACCAATAGGCTTCTATTAAAAAAAAACCTGACCATCAATAATAAACTATTGCAATTTAAAAAAACAGTGCTGATCTTTTTGGAAGGCAGCTATGCTCACCACTATACCACCAACGCAGCTTAGCGCTGATCTTTTTGAAAGAATGGGACCTGTCAGGCTTTTCTGTTAACCACATGCTGTAGACCAATGAATAACCTCAATTCAGCTTTTACTTTCTTCATCTGTATCTTCCTTTGTCTCTCAGGGACAGCACTTGTGCTAGCCAGATTACCGCTGGAGAAGATTACTCAATGTCTTAGTGAGCTATGTTCTGTTCAGGTTATGTCATTGAAAAAGGTGAGTTTGATTAAGTAAGGGGATGTGAAACAAATTAAGATATTTAAAAGGAAAAGTCAAAATTATTCATTTACTTGTATCTTTTGTAAAAGCCAAAAGAATGAATTGAAAAGTTTCCTTTTTCTTTCTCTTTTATAATGTACAGAAAAGTTTTTAAAATTAATATGTCTCTTGAAGTAGCTGCATGCACAGAAGTATTTAAAAATCAATAGATTTTTACTAATATCATAATACCATTTAGAAGATGTAACGGTAAAAATATCATTCAAGTTAGCATCCAAAACCATAACCTACCATGTTTCCTCGAATAATATGTAAAGATGGCAGTTCTTCTCAAATTACTTGTACTAGTATAGTGCAATAACAGTGAACATACTGATAGGGTTTTTAGGAAAATATAACAAAATGATTCTAAAGTTCACTTCTACTGATATAATGGTGGAAATTTTAAGAAAGAAAAATAAGGGGCAACTTGCCTTATCTCTTAAAATATAAAGCTAAATTGGAATGTGAATATAATATAGATTACATAACACATAGTAATCTTATATATAAACTATCTTTTAATATATAATTTCTATAATGTCTCAATCATAATACAAATAAATGGAAAAAATTAAATTATGTTTTCTCCACAATGATTATATATTAAAATGTTAGTATAATAATATATAGTCTTGGCCAGTATGCAGTGAGATGGAAGAAAGTAATTTGACAATATGAATTAAAAGTTTGCACCATTTGAGTAACTTTACAGAAATAAACAGAGATTGAGACAGAGGTTGATGTGTAAGGGTGTATGTTGCAGTGTTTGTATGTGTAATGACTGCGTGTTAATGTCTGTCTCTTCAGCTGTTGTCTCAGGAGCCCAGCAATGGTATATCCTCAGATCCCACTGTGTTCTTAGATCGTCTTGCAGTAATATTTAGGTAAGAAGAGAGATTCTAGATATCTGTCTTGGGTTAAAAGCACAAATGAGACCCTTGTGTATTGAAGTATGCAAGTGGGGTGTTTTTTTCTCCTATAATTGCCTTTGTCAGAATACTTAATTAAGATCATTGCCTGAAAGAAAAAAAAAGATCATTGTCTGAAGTCTTGGGCAAAGGCAAATTCTAAGAACTTGTTCTTGGTAGACCTTTGTCAGAAGAATCTTTTTAAAAATTGTAGGGATTGATGTATTTTAGTGAACCAATCCCCTACTGATGGACATCAAGGTTGTTTCAACCTAATCTCCAAACAACCTCACACACATCATTGTACATGTACAAGAGTATCTACAAAGGATAAATTCATAAAAATCACAGTTAAAGAATATCTACCTTCATCGTTTTGGTGAATTTTTTGAAAATGCCAATAAAACTTGTATCTATCCTGCATTCCCACTCACTATATCAGGGATAATTTTACATCAGAGAAATATGATATGAAAGGTGAAAAGCGCTATGTAAAATTAGGTAGCTACTCCCTTAGCTATAGTTTCATTATCCCTAAGGAATCATAGACCTCATGGAGGAAAAGAACTTCATTTCCTTCTGAGCCACTAAGGTAAGTTCACCCAAATCAGTTATCAGCAAAATTCTTGAAACGTACGCTGAGCACCCAGGAGCTGGTGACGTCAGTGCTTGTAGAGCAGGGAAGTGAGGACCGAGGCTTCCAAATTGCAGTGACCTTGGGTGATGGCAGATCCCATGGTGATGCACAGAGTGCTGAAGTCATCGGTCTCAGGGTTGGTGGGGTCCCACTCGAGAGTCCACCTGAAAGGCCACTGTGGGCAATGGCCTGGCAGAAACTGGGAACCTCCGTGGATTTTTTTCACAGAATAGGGTTCCTGAGTCCCAGGCAGGGAAGACATGGTCGCATGTACATTGGGGAGACTCACAGAGTGCCCTTCCCACCTGACCTTCCCCAGTCTGTTTACTCTGGGTCCATGGGTGATGTGACATGGCCCAGGGAGGGAAGGGCTGTCAAAAAACCCTTTAAAATGTAATAAATTCTTCTGGTCTCTAGATCAGTGATTTTCAAACTTTAACATGCTTCAGAATCACCTGTATGATTTATCAAAACATAGATTGCTGCCCTAACCGATTTGGCTCAGTGGATGGAGAGCTGGCCTGCAGACTCAGGGATACAGATTTGATTCTGATCAGAGGCATGTACCTTGGTTGCAGGCACATCCCCAGTAGGGGTTGTGCAGGAGGCAGCTGATCGATGTTTCTCTCTCATCAATGTTCTAACTCTCTGTCCCTCTCCCTTCCTCTCTCTAAAAAATCAATGAAATATATATATATTTAAAAACATAGATTGCTGGTTCCATCCCAGATTGTCTGATTGATTGGATTTTTGATTGAAACTAATAATTTACATCCTATATAATAATTCTATATAATAAAAGGGTAATATGCAAATTGACCCAATGGCAGAACGACTGGCTGCCCACTATGTCACTATGATGCCCACTGACCATCAGGGGGCAGATACTCAATGCAGGTGCTGCCCCCTGGTGGTCAGTGTGCTCCCAGGGGGAGAGTGCCGTTCAGGCAGAAGTTGGGCTCACAGCTGGCGAGCACAGCAGGCATCCGTGGCAGCGCTAAGGATGTCCAACTGCAGATCAGGCCCACTCCCTAAGCCCACAGTAGGACATCCCCTGAGGGCTCCAGGACTGCGAAAGGGCACAGGCTGGGCTGAGGGACTCCACCCCCACCCTCCAAGTGCACGAATGTTGTACACCAGACCTCTAGTATTTAATAAATTTCCAGGTGCTGCTGCTTGCTATTCCAAGGACCACACACACTTTTAGACACATTGTGAAATGTATGGATACAAAACAGTAATAAAGGCTCTTCATTAACATGGTGAAATTAATCCTTCTTTAAAGTTAAGAGGAGCCTAATGATTAAAAAAATATTTGAGTGACAGTGTTCAAAGAGTGATAATGAGTTACATAATTTATACTATGTGAAGCCTATAGGTATAACAGGAATAGTGGAGTAATAATTGCAAAAAAGCCTATGTGGAATAAGTTAAAATAGGCATTGTTTTAGTTTATTACTTTTTGTCAACAGGTATCTCTATCTGAATTGGTGCAATGCTTTCCTTGTATAATGACATCCCATTCTTAGAGCCTATTAACAATAACCCATATCCTATGTAATAGAAGAATAATATGCAAATTGACCATCACTCCAACACACAAGATGACTGCCCTCATGTGGTCAAAGATGGTTGTCCCCATGTGGACACAAGATGGCCAGCAGGGTAGGGCAGTTGGGAGGGACCAGGCCTGCAAGAGAGGGCAATAGGGGGCGATCCAGCCTGTAAGGGAGGGAAGTTAGGGGCAACCACGCTGGCAGAGGAAGGATATTGGGGGCAACCAGGTCTGCAGGGAAAGGCAGTTGGGGGGAGGGGAACCCAGGCCTGAAGGGGAGAGCAATTGAGGGGGACCAGACCTGCAGGGGAGGGCAGTTAGGGGTGACCAGGCCTGCAGGGGAGGGCAGTTAGGGGCAAACAGGCTGGAAGGGGAGTGGTTAGGCAGGCGTCCTCAAACTTTTTAAAGTGGGGGCCAGATCACGGTCCCTCAGAGAGCTGGAGGGCCGGACTATATGAACTACTAATTCCTACTGTAACACCTCGGCTGCGCTCACTGCCCAAAAAACCTGGCGGGCCGGATCAGACTCCTCTGTGGGCCACATGTGGCCCACGGGCCGTAGTTTGAAGACCCCTGGGTAGGGGATGATCAGGCTTGCGGGCAGAAGTCGTTAGGGGCAATCAGGAAGGCAGGCAGGCGAGCAGTTGGGAGCCAGCAGTCCTGGATTGTGAGAGGGATCCCAGGTTGGAGAGGGTGCAGGCTGGGCTGAGGGACACACACCCCCATCATGAATTTCATGCACTGGGTCTCTAGTCTATATGTATAAAAGCCTTAGCAACTGGTCGTTATAATGCACACTGATTACCAGGGGCAAACACTCAACACAGGAGCTGCCCCCTGGCGGTCAGTGCACTCCCACAGCCAACCTCCCATAGCTGACCAACTTCCCCTAGTCCCTCCCCCTGTCGGCAGGCCCCAGCCAGCAGCCGGCAGGAAGGAAGGCCCCAGGCGGCAGCTGGAAGGCCCCAATTGGCCCTGATCGCTGGCCAGACCTAGGGACCCCACCCATGTATGAATTTCATCACCAGGCTTCTAGTTTCACTATAAATGAAAGAAAATCTGTAATACATGGAAATACCTGGATTTAAAGAAAAGTAAATTTTAAATAAATTGCTGTTGAATATTAAAAATTAAAGAATTTTTTTTTTCCTTTAAAGAGGTTGATATTTAATTTTTTTCTTTTTTCTTTTTTTCTGCTTCAAATTAGTGGAGTCTAGAACTAGACAAATAGTTGGATTTGACATATTTTAGATGGGCCTGTGTGTTGTGTGTATTCCTGGGTTCAGACTAAAACCATGAGAAACATCTTTGGTAGACTAGAGTTGCTAAAGCTTTTGACTTTCAATGCTGGGAAAGGAGCAGTGCTTGGTTTCTCATTGTGGATTCAGACAACCTATATATATTCTTTATTAATTTGGGAGAGATTACATATTTAGGTTTATAAAGGGTAAAAAAATGAAAAAGATAATTTAGTGTCCCACACCCATAGCCCACGTACCCAGAGTTAGATTGAGTTTACATGTTCTAGTGGAAGTCACTTAAAGGTGGCAATTAATGATAGGATAATTTAAGATTATTTGCTTGTGTTTGTTTGAATGCAATAGGAGGAAATGGTTTTGAGTCCTAAAAATAAGTTTGCTATCTGTTTTTTGTTTTTGTTGTTTGGTGAAATGATACTAAGTAACTAAAGGGACAGGGCTCTGGGTCCTCAGTGAAATTGTTCTTCTTTCACTAATTTGGGCCATTTGTCTTTCTGCAGACACACCAATCCCATTGTGGAAAATGGACAGACTCATCCGTGCCAAAAAGTCATACAAGAAGTAAGTGTTAACAAATGTCTGTGGTACAAGACTTTCTTCCTTTTTCCTTGCAATGCTGTGGGTAACTAGAGTGAGAAGGTACCTTTTTCTAGTTTCATAGAAGATTTAATTTGCTGGTATGAATTAAATACCAATGAAAAGAGGAATGGAACCATCCAAATAAATAATTTAGATTTTAGATTTTTTAATTTTTATTTATTTACTAGGGGCCCGTTGCAGGAAGATTCCTGCAAGAACAGAGCTTCCTGCAGGCTTCCCCTTCCACTGCTGCTGTACACTTTTCTGCTGCTGCTGCTGCCCGCCCCACCCGCACTTTCCCTCCTGCATCCGCTTTGCTTTCCACTTTCCCTTCCTTCTATGCTGTCTTCAGTCTTCACTCCTTCCTCCCTCGGCATATGCAAATCAACTACCATCTTTGTTGGGTTAATTTGCATACTCTGATTGGCTGTGGGCGTAGCGAAGGTATGGTCAATTAGCATTTTTCTCTTAGTGTAGATTTATTTATTTTAATATATTTTATTGATTTTCTATAGAGAGGAAGGGAGAGGGATAGAGAAGTAGAAACATTGATGAGAGAGAAACATCAATCAGCTGCCTCCTGCACACCTCCTACTGGGGATGTGCCTGCAACTAAGGTATATGCCCTTGACTGGAATCGAACCTGGGTCCTTTCAGTCCACAGGCTGACACTGTCCACTGAACCAACCCAGTCAGGGGTAGATTTTAGATTTTTTTAAAAAGAAAACAGGCTATGGGAAAATTTATTGAAAGGCCAAAGAAGCCAAAACCAGTTTGGCTCAGTGGTAGAGCGTTGGTCTATGGACTGAAAGGTCCCAGGTTCGATTCCGGTCAAGGGCATGCACCTTGGTTGCGGGCACATCCCCGGTGGGGGGTGTGCAAGAGGCAGCTGGTCAGTGTTTCTCTCTCATCGATGTTTCTAGCTCTCCATCTCTCTCCCTTCCTCTCTGTAAAATATCAATAAAATATATTATAAAAAAAAAAAAAAAAAGAAAAAGAAAGAAAGGCCAAAGAAGTGGGAGAGATTATGTGAATCCTAGAATTGCTAGGAGGACTGATTAATACTAGCAACATTTTCTTTGACAAAGCTAATTAAGCCTTCTTTGCTTTAATTTCCCTATTGATAACATACTTCCCTTATGCTTCTTTCACTGAAGGTAATGTAAGGATCAAAAGGTATGTTTGAAAAGTGCTTTGCAGTCTCTGGCCATACCACCCTGAATGTGCCTAATCTCATCTGATCTCGGAAGCTAAGCAGGGTTGGGCCTTGATGGGAGAAGTATTTGCTTTTCAGACTATGGGATGGGCCACACCAAATGTTCTTAAGTGTTCAACGGTATCAATGCTATTTCCTTTATTCCATTTGTTCAAGGTCTTTCAACTTCTTGGAACTGCCTTAAACATTTCTTCTTCTGTAACTCTTCCCACCCTAAATCAGGAAGTTCAAAGTTTAGGAAAATGCATATCTTTGTCCTCTAGTAAAGTTAGACAAGCTCCCCTTCCTGTTCTGAAGAGTCATTGTGCTTCTCTTAGAAGCGGTTGGGTTTTAGTGATGAATAGTATTTTGAATCTCCACACATGTACATACACATATACACTGGTCAGAATCAGGCTATGTGTGTTTCTTACAATGAAAGCTTTTTCCAAATTATTTGAAAACCAAATATAATGCTACCAACTTGAAAGCATTTTTTTTTTCAGCTCTTTCTTTCTTATGTTTTTTCACTTTTGATTCAGATATGGCCAGTTTTATCTGAGACTTTAAATAAGCATCGGGCTGATAATCGGATTGTAGAACGTTGTTGCAGATGCCTTCGCTTTGCTGTTCGCTGTGTAGGCAAAGGATCTGCAGCCCTGCTGCAGCCACTAGTCACACAGGTAAGTTCTCTACAAGAGGGAAAATGTAACCTGTACAGAATTTGAAATAGGAGCCTTTGGAACAAAAACTCTGATGATGAAACACTTGTATTAATTGAATATGAAAAAAAAAATTCTTTGAAAGAGGTTAAGTAGTGCCTGTGGTAGGTATGTTGTCTATAATCTTATCTGTATAGTGAAGTCTAATTAGCAATACATTCCAGTGTGAAATTAGGAAAAGAGAATGACTTTAATGTTCAGCTCTTGTATAATATATCAGTGCATTAATTTCCTTTTTTTAAATGTGTTAAGTCAAAGTTTGCAATTTTTTAGCCCAAAGGGATTTTTAACTATATTGAACATTGTTCATATAAGTTTCTTATTTGTCAAGGTATAAATTTGACTCTTTTAATGACCAAGATTGATATATTACTAAGATGGTATGACTCACTAATGAAGTTCTCTAAGATTATACCTAGAACTACAATCTATGAGACATCTGTGACTTGTGACTTAGTTCACTAAGTAATTTGTGTTGATGTTAACCTCATAGCAGAGCCAGAACTAGACTGAGGCAAGTGAGGTGCTGTGTGCCCAAAACTGAGGGAGGCAAGGCCAGTGCCAATCCTACATGTGTAGGACTCTTAAGCAAGTGCCTTCTTAAATTTTGCTCTTGCACTGTGAGGAAAACTGCTAGACAACACTCACCCACCCAACCTAAAGCGATTCTTCTCCACCTGGACAGGGTACAGACAGTGAAGATTTTAAGGTGCCACACACCCTCAGCAGCTGACCCTGACAGTGAGTGCTACCTTAAATTCTGCACCCTGGTACTTCATTCTTAAGGAAGCACCCTCTCAACTAGGGTCATGCTAGTGCAGTGTCAGTTGACATTTGCATGATCTCCCCTACTTAAATTTGTAGATTTGATTAAAATTTGTACAGGTACATATTTTATTTGTTTATTATTTTTAATAAATTTTTATTGTTCATATTTTTACAAATGTTCCTTCCCCCCCTCCATTGCTCTCCTCCACCAGGTTCCCACCCCACCCTCTGCCCTTTCCCCACCCCCCATTGTCCTCATCCATAGGTGCACAGTTTATGTTCAGTCTCTTCCCACATCCTCCTCTCCCCTTTTCCCCAAGAATCATCAGTTCACTCCCCTTCCATACCTCTGATTCTATTATATTCAACAGTTAATATTGTTCATCAGATTTTTTTTTTTAATTTCCTTGGTTTTTAGATTTACTTGTTAATATTTACGTATTTGTTGTTCATAATTTTTATCTTTATTTACTTTCTCTTCTGAAAGAACCCCCTTCAGCAATTCATATAATTCTGGTTTGGTGGTGATGAACTCCTTTAGCTTTTTTTTATTAGTGAAGCTCTTTATCTGACCTTCGATTCTGAGTGATAGCTTTGCTGAATAGATTATCTTTGGCTGTAGTTTCTTACTATTCATCACCTTGAATATTTCTTGCCATTCCCGTCTGGCCTGCATGGTTTCTGTTGAGAAATCAGCTGACAATCATATAGGTGCTCCTTTATAGGTAACTACCTGCTTTTCTCTTGCTGCTTTTAATATTCTCTCTTTGTCTTTTGCTCTTGGAATTTTAATTCTTGGTGTGGTCGTCTTTGGATTCCTTTTGTTTGGAGTTCTGTGTGCTTCCTGGACTTGTAAGTCTAATTCTTTCACCAGGTGGGGGAAGTTTTCTGTCACTATTTCCTTCAGTATGTTTTCGATATCTTGCTCTCTCTCATCTTCTGGGACCCCCATAATTCTGATGTTTGTTTGCTTGAAGTTGTCCTAAAGGTTTCTTACATTATCTTCAACTTTCTGGATTCTCTTGCCTTCTAGCTTCTGTGGAGGAGTGTCTTCTGGCTCTTTATGTTCCAAATCTTTGACTTGATTCTTGCGATCTTCCGTTCTGTTTTTAGGACTCTGTATAATATTATTTATTTCAGACAATGTATTCTTTATTTCTTGTTGATCCCTTATCATTTCTTGTTGGTTCCTTATTAATTCTAGTTGATCCCTTTTCATATCCTCATAGGTCTTATCGATCTTTTCTAGGAAATTCTTGAAAAGCCTTATAAGCGTAGATTTGAACTCTATATCCAGTCACTTTTTGTCCTCCATTTCTTTCGTTGTTTGTATTCTATTTTGTCTCGGCATTTTCACAGCTTCCCTGAGGGGGCGGGGTTTCAGGGCGGAGCCTACAGCTTTGGCTTCCGTCAGCCCCGCCCCATACAGCTCCTGGGTCTCAGGGTCCTTCAGTACTTGTTGCAAGTGCCTCTGAGAGAAAGGTGCCCTCGATTTTCGCCTGCTACCAAATAGTCTAGGCTCTCCCCCAATGAGCCCGGTATTGGGGTTCAGTTCAGTTGGAAGTGGAGTTGGAGGTGGCATTCAGAGCAGTCTGGAGCCCCTGTCTCCTTCCCGCCAGGGCAATCCCGCGGCACAGCCAACTGTCCCTTCTCTGCGCGCAATGTGCGCGCCTCCGGGACCTCCTTTTTCACCGCCCCCCCCCCTCCCCCCCCCCCGGGGTTCTGCCTTATAGCGCAGCTCCCTCTCTTTGAGCCTGGGTCCCCAGGGTCTGGCCTAGAACTGGGGTTCAGAACAGTTGGAACTGGGGCCCAGCACAGTCGGAGCTTTTATCTCCTTCCTGCTAGGTAACACCAGCCAGGCATTCAGCCTCCCTCCTCTCCAGCTCCGTCCTCTCCACGCGCTGCGTGTCTCCGTACCTTAGGCTTTTACAGCTCCTCCGCTCTTCCTTCTGGCTTTCTCCTTGCTTCTCGTAGAATTTCCAGTCAGTCGACTTTCCTGTACTTCTGGGTAATGTCCATTTTGTATTTTAGTTGTATTTTATTGAAATTGTTGTGTGTGGCTGCGGCTAGGTGTTTACCTGTGCAGCCATCTTGGATTCTCCTCCAGCTTATTCCAGGTACATATTTAAATAGAATTTTAATGATTAGTGGTTTTCTATACTCTTAACTACTGCAGTATATGTTTGCATTTAGACTGTGTCCACCTCTGGTTAGGGGTCCAGTTGGTGTAATACTTTCTAAGTCCAATATAACTTGATTTTAAAGTCCCTTTGCTGTTGGAGGATATCTCATGACTTTGGTTTTTTGGGGTTTTTTTTTATTCCTGTTAATTAAATATGTGATCAACCCAATAGAGTGGGGCAGGACCTTACATAGGAAGTGCGTTCTAAAGTCAGTACATGTGGCAAAAGTGAAAATTATTCTTAAAAGTCCCATAGAAAAAGGGGTAAATAAACTAGAGCTGATTGTCCTGTAGTTTGTAAATAAAATTTTAATGAGTGATTGCCATGCTTATTCATTTAAGTATTATTTATTGGCTATTTTTGTGCTACAGTGGCAAAATGATAGTCAGAAGATTGTATGACTGGCAAAGCCTAAATTATTTATTATCTGGCCCTTTAAGACAGTTTGCCAACCCCTGACTTAAATCATTATTCATTAAGTAGAGCATATATTTTTTGAGTATACAGCACTGAATAGATTCATAGTTCTCATCTCATGCTCATTCTATGGTATATGCTGTTAAGAGTCAATTACTCTATCCTTCAGCCCTCACTACTTTTATAGAACTGAATTTATATAACTTAAGTGCATGGGTGTTGTGATGGCATTTCAAATAGATGAATGTATAGATAGATGCCTCTTGATTTTTGGAGAATAGTAGGGTAAAAATCCTAAACAAATCATTTAATTTAAATGTGTGTATTATATTAAATTTCTATTCTTTTGAGAAGGATACCTTAATTTTAAACACTGTTTTTTACTTAGAAGATGAAATAAAGAAGTTTAGGAGCAACTCAGAATTGAAATAATGCTTTCACAGCCTCCAAGATGAAGGCGTAGTTTAATCCTATATAATAAAAGGCTAATATGCAAATTGACTGAACTGTGGAATGACCAGTCGCAGTGATGTGCTCTGACCACCAGGGAGCAGACACTCAATGCAGGAGCTGCCCCTGGTGGTCAGCGCATTCCCACGGGGAGAGGGGAGCGGTGCCGCTCAGCCAGAAGCTGGCTCATGGCTGGCAAGCACGGCGGTGGTGGGAGCCTCTCCTGTCTCTGAGCAATGCTAAGCTTTCAGTCAGACATCCCCCGGGGGCTCCTGGACTGCAAGAGGGTGCAGGCTGGGCTGAGGGGACCTCCTAACCCCCCCAAGTGTATGAATTTCGTGCACCAGGCCTCTAGTTTGGTATATATAACTACTTTTTTTTTTTTAAGTTTTTTTTAATGCAAATAGGAGCAACTATTAGATGTTAGAAAATTTGAGTATGTTATGCTATGGTTTTACAAACATTATGCAAGCCTTGGATAAAATAGTTCTTTAATGTCTTTCAGCTTGAAATATTATACATGTTTTCCTATGTTGTCTGAAAGAAACGAGACTAGACTCTCTGTAAATGTCTTCCTCCAAACAGCTTTCTAAGTTGATACTTATTGAGGAGTATCAACCTCAATAAGAGGTTGAATTAATTGGTTTTTCCCTTGGCAGATGGTGAGTGTGTACCATGTACATCAGCATTCCTGTTTCCTGTACCTTGGCAGTATCCTTGTGGATGAGTATGGCATGGAAGAGGGCTGTCGGCAGGGATTACTAGACATGCTTCAGGTATGTTTTCTTTGGGGTATATAGATGTGTTGGTTCTTTGATGGTCTAAAGGCCTAGCAGTGTGTTCTTTACCATGTCTTTAATTCTGTTGCTTCTTTATGTTTCCACCCCAGGCATGTTGATTTCCTAATAACAGGGAGATAGAAATGTCCTAGTTCTCTGAACAGGCCTGCTTGGGAGAAAGAAAGATTGACTACACAAATGTAATGATCATTACTGCCTAATTATGTAATCCAGAGATAGGGATTTTTTGAGGAGTGGGGAGGTGGGCAACTGAATTTAAATTCTTGCCTGAAACAGCCAGTGAACAAGTTTACTCAGCACATTTGGTCTTAGGGTAAATAGCAGACGTTGGAAAAGTTTCTGATATACTAACCCCCCCAAACCCCCCGTTCTCCCCTCTCTAATTATGGGGGTGGAGGATGGGTGGGAATATATTAGGGAGTTAAATTATGATACTCCTTTTCTTCAAGATGTATTTTCCTTTAAAACTTCATCTATTATTATTAAAACTTCATTTACTCCTTTAGCACACTGACCAAGTTTAGTACATATAAGTACAGTCTTTATTCTCAGGAACTTCTAAAGCTTTGAAATGATATCTATCCACCTTCATCAACTAGAATCTACACCATCAATCCTTCCTAAAATGTGGCTTTCATTTATGAAAACTAAGTCAACTGAGAGAGCTTTCCATCATCCTTTTCTTGATCTTATTTTTGTCAGTCCTTTTTTTGTGTATGTCTGTGCTTTCCCCCTCTTTGTTCCTTTTGTGTGTGTTGTGATGTTTAGCAAGTCTGAATGCTGTGACATTTAAATACAAGTATTTGATTTAAAATCACTTCTGTTTTAGGCACTGTGCATCCCCACCTTTCAACTCCTAGAACAGCAAAATGGGCTCCAGAATCACCCTGACACCGTGGATGACCTGTTCAGGCTAGCCACCAGGTCAGTTCTTCCAAAGAGCAACCCTTTCTTTTATTATTCATTCCAAAAACTGCTTAGACTTGTCACCTAACACTTGACTCTTTCCTTCTTTATGAATTGACTTAAGTGAAGTAGGTAGATTAATCATTCATAACCCAAAGTTAAATTTTGAACCAGATTATCCCCATAAGTGAAGAAAAGGAATTGGATGGGAGCAGGGGAAAGTGACTGAGTTCCTATTTTGAAGGAGGAAACACATGCAGGACAGTAAAATTGAGCTTGGTAAAAACATTGGACAAGATAATCCCTAAAATACCTTGTGATTTTAACTTTGTATGCTGCTGTAATATCAGCCTTCACCTCAAATTTTTCTTTGAGTAGATAATATTTCAGAAAAACATACTTAGGATTTTAAAGTGCTTAGAAGTTATCTGGTGTTACACTTCCCAGCTCTGCCACTAACCTGCCACCTCACCTAGTGCTTAAATTCCTTTTACCAGTAACACTGACGTTATTGTCAAATCTTTGAGTTCCTTCTTAGTCTCTCACTAAGGAATTTTAATCAAACCAGTTAGTGAACATAAAACCTTTTATAAAAATATAAACCATTATTAAGTGTAGATGTTAAGTTTTTGGACAAGTTAGAAAAATGTGTGAGTTTTTCCCCCTCCAGTTTATATGGGTGGGTTGTCAATCTGTTTTCCCAGTACATATTCCTTGAAAAACTAATTCCTAGAGACATTCTTTGTACCTGGTGAAAATAACTTGGAAAAATATTGTTTTTCTTGGAGATTCTCCATTACATTAAAAGATCTGAGAAACCTTGTGGAAAATTGAATGGAAAGTAATAGCGTTTCCATATACTTCCTGCTTCCCCACCCCCACCATCTCCCTCACTATCAACAGCATCCCTCACCAGAGTGGTTTGTTAGAATTGATTAACCAGCCTTGACACATAATAAAACATTAGGTTTTATTCTTGGTGGTTTACCTTCTATGGTTTTGGACAAATGTATAATGACATGCATCCATCATTATAGTATTTGTACAGAATAGTTTTACTACCCTAAAAATCCCCTGTGCTCCACCTATTTGTCCCTTTCTCCTCTTCAAACCCTAGCAACCACTGATCTTTTTACTTTCTCCATAGTTCTGTCTTTTATCCTGGCTGCTTTTATGGCCTTTTCCTGTCATTTACACCAGCATGTCTTTCCACACCAGGTTTATTCAGCGTAGCCCTGTTACCTTGCTGAGGAGCCAGGTGGTCATCCCTATCTTACAGTGGGCCATTGCCTCTACTACCCTGGACCACCGGGATGCCAACTGTAGTGTCATGAGGTTCCTACGAGACCTCATCCACACAGGGGTAGCCAATGATGTAAGTATAAACATTGTAAGTTTTCTACTTTGCAGCTCATTATCTTCTCATATTGCTTCCTCATTTCCTTAAGGGTATCTGTCTTATAATGCTGGCTTAGTGGTGATGTACTTCTTTAGCCTTTTTTTTTTTTTTAATCTGGGAAACTATTTCACTATCTATTTTGAATGATAGTCTTGCTGGATATAGTAATCTGACTTTAGATCCTTTATTTCCATTACCTTGAGTACTTTATACCATTTCCTTCTGGCCTATAGAGTTTCTGATGAGAAATCAGGTGTCAGCCTTATGGGAGTTCCTTTGTAGGTAACAGTTTGCTTTTCTCTTTCTGCCATTAAGATTCTCTGTCTTTAATTTTTGGCATTTTAATTATGATGTGTCTGGGCTTGGACCTGTTTAGGTTCTTCTTGCTTGAGATTGAAACTCTCTGTGGCCCCTGAACTTGTGTGACTTTTCCCTTCACCTGGTTAGGGAACTATTTTATCATTACTTTTTCAAACACATTCTCTATCCCTTCCTCACTTTATTCCCCTTCTGGCACTCCTATTATGCAAATATTGTTACATTTCTTATTGTTCCACAGCTCCCTTAAACTGTCCTGGTTTTTTTTTTGTTTTTGTTTTTTTGTTTTTGTTTTTCCTTTTTTTCTTTTTGGTCCTCTGATTGAGTGATTTTTTTTTTTTTTCCTTTTCTACCCTGTCTTCTAATTCACTGATCCAATCCTTGGCTTCCCCTAATCTGCTTTATATTCCTTCCAGTGTGTTCTTTACAAGTGCTATGTCATGTATCTTTTCTCATAGCTTGAGCATCTTTGCCATCATTATTTCTGAACTCTGTGTCTCATAAATGTCTTATCTCCATTTCATTTAGTTCTTCCGGAGAACTCTCTTATTCTCTCATTTGGAGCTTATTTTTTTTGTCTCCCCACTTTGGCTGCCTGATGGGTTTGTGTCTGTGTATTAGGTAGATCTACTACAACTCAAAATCTCTAGGGTAGGACAATGTCAGATACTGTTTCTGATTGGCCCTGAGTATCTGGTTTGGAGCTATCAGCAATCCACGGTTTGTGGCTCCTCCTGCTGGGGCTGGGTACCTTTGGAAAGGACCAAGATGTGCACCAGGTTCTGCTTTTCCTAGCCCCAGGTCTGGAATTAGATCAGACAAAGTCTCAAAGCCTCCAGAAACCCGCCTCTGCCTGCATTCCTATTGACAGTCAGACTTGATTAGCCTCAGGCTGTCAAACACAGTATGGAGCAAGAGGTCTTCCAGCAGGGTGGGGCAACTGCCTTCCCCCCAGGCAAAAACTACCTCATAGCAAAGGTCCACAGGAGAATGCTTTCCTCCTCAGCAGAGGAAATGACTCAGCACAGGAAGCCATTGGGGGCTGCTCCCTATTTCCAACTCCAAAGCCCCCAATCCTGGCTTCTGCTCCCATCAATTCATTCTAATCTGCCCTTCCTCTGCCCAAGGTGAGTGGTTGGATACTAAAGTTTGTGTGTTGGCCCTTTAAGAGGGTTCCTGCAATTCCAGTTATTTCACTGTCAGAACCCAGCTGCTTTTCATATACAGTTGTTATGTGGGTACCTTTTACAATTTTGTTGTTTTAGACCTAGCTTGGGGTTTAGACCTCAGAGTTCTCAGTGGGAAACCCCCACAACTGAGATATTTCTCAGAACTCAGCTGCTGTCTGTAGGATCCAGCCAGCTCTTTTGGTCTTCCCCATTTCCTACCAATCTCTATGCAGTCTCCACTTTCTATCCTTGATTATCAGGTGTCTCTCCAGCTAGTCTTTAGTTGATTTTTCAGGGTGGGTTTTCTGTGTTTTAGTTGCGTTTCCAGTTTGGTCCTGGGAGAGTGACAGTGTAGCTTCCACTTACTCCACCACCATTTTGGATCGTCTCAGTTGGTTTTCAAAAAGGAAATCAGAATACTTTGTTATTTTTCACACAAAAAAAAAAATTAAGAAAATTGCTAGCCTTAATCTTTAACCATTGTGTCTCTTCTGTATTCTTTTCATGAAAAATCTAAGGGTTAATTTTAGCTGAAACCCATGTCTATTTCTTTGATACTAAACTCAATGTTTTCTTCATGATGAAACATTTGGTGGGCTTTGTGAATCCTCCTGCTATATAATATATATATTTTCTTTCCTGGGAAAGAGAAATTACTAGATCAGCAATTTTTACCTTTTTCATCTCATGGCACACATAAACTAATTACTAAAATTCTGCAGCACACCAATATATATATATTTATTTATTTTTGCCAGTCTGAGAAATTTTAAAAAGGCATGATTTTGATTGATTCACACTGCATGGCTATTCTATTAGTTGTTGTCTTTTTTTTTTTTTTTTTTTTTTTTTTTTTTACAAAAAGAGGCCTAGGCCCCTGGCTAAATAGTCAGATTTTGCATGTTTTAAAAATTATTACAGCTCACCCATTGATAATGCTGTGCTAGATTAAAAGGGAAAGAGTACTTGGTCTTTGGAAAGTTGAATTAGAACTTATCCATTGCTCTGGTTTTTTTACAGCATGAAGAGGACTTTGAATTACGGAAAGAATTGATTGGACAGGTGATGAATCAGCTGGGACAGCAGCTTGTAAGCCAGCTGCTCCACACCTGCTGCTTTTGTCTCCCTCCCTACACCTTACCAGATGTGGCCGAAGTGCTCTGGGAGATCATGCAGGTTGACAGGCCGGTAAGATTATTTTCCTAAGGGGCCCATTTCTCCCTGGCCTAAACTTTGGTTCCTTAGGGCCAGCTATACCTTTGAAAGCAGCCCTGTTGAACATTCATGGAACCTAATTTAGGCATATTGCTAAGTTTAATTGTTAGACAAAGGAGGTCACATGAGGCCATTGATTCATCACTGGGTTATTGAAAGCATATTTTTATCACTGTTGTATGGCTTATAAATTACCATAAGTGAATAGTAAGTATTGAATTCAGCTCTGTGGTCATCAATGAGAAATGTGTTCATTTGTAGAAAATGCCCATGTATGCCTTGTATAGTGTTACAGGTTATTTAAAAAGTGTTAATTAACTTCATTCTCCTTAGATAGCATGTATGGTTCCCTGGTAATAAAACTTGTCAGAGCATTTGGAGGCATATAGGTATATTGTAAAACTAGTCCACAATATATACTTGATTTGTTTCCTTATTGCATTTATTTGCTTCCTATTTTCTTCAAGTTTTTTATCACCTGAGCATGGAAATTTTTTTAGGCTATCCAGTAATGCCCAAGAAATTTCAGTAGTAGACCACATGATCATAAATCAGGTTATGTGTGCTGCATGAAAGTTTTGAACATAGTGACAAAGTATATCATGTCCTATAATTTATTTTTAAATAGGATTTATAATTTTTGATATTTAATATAAAAGCAGTTGGATCTAGTTAAAGTGAGCTGTCTACCAGAAAAGATCCAGATACTTATAACTTTGAAGTACATGTATATGTTAACATTGTATTTTGCTTTATGTTACCGATGGCAGTTCTTAGCCTCAATTTCAGCAGTTTCACAAAAGAAACTGCACTTTTACTGTTAGACTTTAATATCTACTGAGCCAGAAGTTCTGCTGGTTTGGTGTGTTCATCTCCAAATTCAGTGATTAGTATATATTGTCTTAGTGGGCTCAATGCAGGAGCTGTTCCCAGTGGTCAGTGCTCCCACAGCCACGTCCTGTGGCCGGCCAACCTCCGTCAGTCCCTCCCCTGGCTGGCCGGCCCTGATTGGTCCCTATTGCCAGCCAACTTCCTGTGGTCCCGATCACCTGCCAGTCCAAGGGACCTCACCCATGCACGAAGTCAGTGATTCACCGGTGCTCCAGTCAATGATAAAAGAGAATCATTGATCTGCCTCCTGCATGCCCCCTACTGGGAATCAAGCCCATAGCCCTGACATGTCCTTGATTGGAATCGAACCTGGGACCCTTCAATCTGCAGGCTGACACTCTATCCACTGAGCCAAACCAGTTAGGGCTTTTTTTAAAAAAATATATTTTATTGAGTTTTTACAGAGAGGAAGAGAGAGGGATAGAGAGTTAGAAACATCGGTGAGAGAGAGTCATCGATCAGCTGCCTCTTGCACATCCCCTACTGGGGATGTGCCCGCAACCAAGGTACATGCCCTTGACCGGAATCGAACCCGGGACCTTTCAGTCCGCAGGCTGATGCTCTATCCACTGAGCCAAACCATTATTGGCAGTTAGGGCTTTTTTTTTGTTTGAGTAGAGTGTTGTCTTCCTTGAGGGCAACATTTGAAAAATTATGGAGTATTTTTTTGGAATAAGGAAAGGTTTATTGATGGTGAAGGTTCCAACCAAGAAGATGGGAAGTTTTAGGGGTGTCTCAAATCCATCTTAAGAAAGTACAGAATTCAGGCTTCATTTATGTCAAGTGAAGGGTAAATGGGAGAGGCAAGAGGTGATTAATAGCCACAGACATCTGGACACCAACAGGGGTCCAGAGGCCAACAAAGGTCCAAGGAAAATTATTAAACTTTTTTGTTTTTAGTCTTGATTCTGATTGGTGTGAGTACGGTTACAAGCTTCCTGCAAGTAATTTTGAATTTCCTGTACATGAGGGTTTACTGCACTTGTTTCCTCTATAATCTAGTTCAATGGTACAGATTCTAAGGGCCTCATCACATTCTCATTGATGATGATATTGTTGGCAACAATGAAAAGGTGTTAAAAACTGGTGGAGTGCCGAAACCGGTTTGGATCAGTGGATAGAGCGTCAGCCTGCGGACTGAAAGGTCCCAGGTTCGATTCCAGTCAAGGGCATGTACCTTGATTGCAGGCACATCACCAGTGGGGGGGTGTGCAGGAGGCAGCTGATCGATGTTTCTAACTCTCCTTTCCTCTCTGTAAAAAATCAATAAAATATATTGAAAAAACTGGTTGAGTCAAACCAGACCTCAGTTCAACAACTTTGGTACTTGGGTTCTGGCTAAGAAAGAATTCAGTGCCAATATTCAAACTATAAGAGAAAATTTATTTAGAAAATCTCACAGATAGAAGTGAGTCATGGAAGAAATAGGCTCAGGAAACAAGTTATAGAGGCTAAAGGGCCCTTGGAGCTTAGGAGAGGGAAAGGGAAAGGTAATACACGTGGGGGAAGAAGAGGGAGGGAGAGGGGAAAGGAACAGCATGCTCCCAGGAGGGAGAGTGCGCCATGCAGTGCTTTTTAAGCATTTGTAGTGTAGAATTTACTTTTCTCTGGTCTGTTACCATAAATTAACATAATGGGAAAACATATATTATAAAAAATCAGCTGGAAACTATAACCAAAGTATATATTCTACTTTAAAAAAAATGAAGAAAAATTAGAACTGACTCAAAGAAGAACAATTAGACTGAAAATAAGAATCCAGAGGAAGTCTCTAGAATTTGGATTTTTAGTTTGAAGAGGAAGTAAGCAAGGGGGCTGAGGACAAGCAGTTTTTGTGCATATGCAAGGTATAAAGATACCTTGTGTAGGTATAAATAAATTCTTCTAAATAGCAACTAGATTGAACAAGGAAAGAACTTTCTAACCCAAAGAAGGGCTGATATCACAAAGGACGTTATTGACACGACTTCTGAGAGAGATGACCTTAAAATCCTGAAATATATGAATTTGTATTACATTTATATTTTGACATGTCTACTTAGTATACTTTTTGTCCCTACCCTTTCTTTGATCTTTATACTCAAAAGTTTTTTGGCAGCTATTTAATTTTTAAAATACTGTATAAGTTTAATGACAGGAACAGAGCAATAGCCTCATCCAGAAGAGGCTTTCCTCTCAAGGAAGAAGGCTCTTTCTTAAATGATGTCTCCTACCCCTTTGAAGGGAAGTCTCGCATGTCTTTGTGTCTGATTCCAACCCCCAGAGCTTTGGATGACCTAAAAATAGTGATTTTGTTAATTCTTTTACTTGCTTTCAAGTCCCAAGGCACTAATGCTACTAAGGAAAACATGCAGGTTTTTGTTGTTACATATAGAGTCCCAGTTGAGTAAGCCCCGCCTCCTTTAAAAACTCTTATTCTTCTTGGTACAGACTTTTTGTCGATGGTTAGAGAATTCCTTGAAAGGTTTGCCAAAGGAAACAACTGTGGGAGCTGTCACAGTGACACACAAACAACTAACAGATTTCCACAAACAAGTCACTAGGTGAGTGATGCTGGGTGTATGTGTTTTTAAAGGAGTATGAACTGCAGCTGAGGTGTTTAGAAAAATAGATCTTTGTTTCTTCTACCATTTTAGTTACACATCTGCCAAAGAATATGTTTTTTATGTGCCTTTTTATTTTTAGTTTCCATATAGTCTTGAATTGCAGATTGGCATGGGAAGCCAGTCTTGGGGAAAATATCACCATGTAGTATATGTGTGTGTCAGTTTTATTGTACATATATTAACTGTTATAAGAACTTAATAAGTAAGTGAAAGCATTATATCTTTCAAAAGAAAAATGCACTGTGCAGCACACTATCCTGCGGGAGAACTGTGTTTTTCTTTTTAAGTTCTCAATTCTGATTCATATTCAGGGGTCAAGAATGCAGGTGTCTGAATAGGTGAAGCATTGATTGTAAAACATAGAGTGATGTGCCAAAACCGGTTTGGTTCAGCAGTAGAGCGTCGGTCTGTGGACTAAAAAGGTCCTAGGTTCGATTCCGGTCAAGGGCATGTACATTGGTTGCAGGCACATCCCTGGTGGGGAGTGTGCAAGAGGCAGCTGGTCGATGTTTCTCTCTCATCTACGTTTCTAGCTCTCTATCTCTCTCCCTTCCTCTCTGTAAAAAAATCAATAAAATATATTAAAAAACAAAACAAACAAAAAAAAGCATAGAGTGATGTAGAATGCAATAAATTAGAAAAATTTCGCCATATCTAAAACAAAAATTTCTCTGGAATGCATTAGGCCCATGAACCACTTGCTTACAGCTCACTTAAAATGTTAGGTATACATAAGTGGGGTTTTTTACTACCCTGTTTCCCCGAAAATAAGACAGTGTCTTATATTAATTTTTGCTCCCAAAGATGCGCTAGGTCTTATTTTCAGGGGATGTCTTATTTTTCCATGAAGAAGAATACAGTACACATTTATTGTTAAATGAAAATAAAGGAAATTTATTACCTGTATACGGTACAGTAGTACGGTAGTTGTCAACACAAACCAGACAAACTATGAATCCTACAGTATCAAGAATTTACTCATTTATTCAATGACAATCATATCATCTTCTGGAACATTATCATAACAATCCAATTCCTGAATTTCCTGGTGAATTTCTTGTGACTCCATTTCTTTCAGAATCAGTGGACCAAATCTGTCATGTTTACCCTAGGGGGGGGGCCTTATTTTCGGGGGAACGCCTTATATTTCACTCAGAAGGAAACCTGTAAGTAGGTCTTATTTTCGGAGGATGTCTTATTTTTGGGGAAACACGGTATGAACATAATAAACACTAGAGGTCCGGTGCATGAAATTCATGCACATGGTTAGGGGGGAGTATCCCTCAGTCCAGCCTGAATCCTCTCTAATCTGGGACCCTTTGAGGGATGTCCCTCTCACAATCCAGGACTGCTGCCTCCCAACCATTCACCTGCCTGATTGCCCCTAACTGCTTCTGCCTGCCAGTCTGATCACCCTTAACCACTCCCCTGCCAGCCTGATTGATGCCTAACTGTTCCCCTGCTGGCCCAATTGCCCCTAATTGCCCTCCCTGCCAACCTGATCATCCTTAACTGCCCTCTCCTGCAGGCCTGGTTCCCCCCATCTGCCCTCCCCTGCAGGCCTGGATCCCCCAACTGCCCTCCCTTTCAGGCTTGTCCCAACTGCCCTTCCCTACTGGCCTGATTGCCCATAACTGCCCTCCCTGCTGGCCATCTTGTGTCCACTTGGAAGTGCCCATCTTATGTGTTGGAGTAATGGTCAATTTGCATATTACCACTTTATTAGATTGGATTTTATATAGCTACATGGTCTTTCTAATCACTATTTTATATCTATACCAGGTATTGCTTGATTTCCTTACAGTACCTCTCTTAGTAGACATTTGATCTTGTTTTTGTTGTTGTTTTCAGTATTATAGATAATATGGTATGTCTAGCCTTTTCTTCTTTTGACCATTTTCATTAAAATCACTGAATCAAAGGTTATGAAACTTTTATGGTCCTTGTTAATATTAATGACAGCAACTTAAATTGGATGTTATAACTGTGTATTACCTTGCCCGGATATTTTTTTGTGTGTCTAGAGTCTAGAATTTTGACTAAATTTTAGGCAGTGGCATATATTCATTCAGTTGTGGGACAATTTCTAGATCCAAGAATGAGTGTTGATAATAGTGAAAGAAACATAGGTGTGGGTCCAGCCAGTTCTGAGTTTTCACCTCTCCTACCAGTCTCAGTGTGGCTTTAAATCTGGACTTCCATTCAGCTAGATTTCAGGCAGTTCAGAATGATGTTTTATCTGTAGTTGAGTTGTAATTTTGATGTGAATGTAGGAGGATTAGAGTACCACATTTACCTACACTGCTATTAATATCTTGACCTGAAGTCTTTAATTTTTTTTAATTTTTTATTTATTTTTTTTACATGGAGGTGGGGGTATAGAAACATCAGTCATGAGAGAAAATCATTGATCAGCTGCCTCCTACATGCCTCCTACAGGGGATTGAGCCTGCAACCCGGGCATGTGCTCTGACAGGGAATCAAACCATGACCTCCCAGTACATAGGTTAATGTACCACTCTGGCCAGGCTTGATTGGAAGTCTTAGTGTCATTTTTCAAAATGGTTTACTTTCTCATCTCCCAGGGTATCTCCAATAATTTTGTTAAAGTTAAAATAACAAACCTTGAGTGTTATTTTTAGTTTACCTGTGGCTTAACTTCATGCCCCAGAAGTAACTGACTTTTGGCCATAGATCAAGTGGCATGCATGACTGGAAAGTAGCATGTGACTGCCTGCCTTCGTGCCACAGTTTGCCAGAAATGGGACTTCCCCTCTACTAAGGAGGCCTATACTAGTATTGACTGGGATGACCTTATAAAATTGTTTCTTTTTATTATGAATTCTCCCAGTAGAAGTAGTATTCTACCTACATGCTGTCTCATGGGTAAAAGTATAATTATTTGCTTTTCTCTACTTTTGTTTTGCTCTGTTCCATCTAACTGGTCATAGAAGGGCAGGATGATATTGACTCAGATTAGAGCAACTGGGAACCTGGGGCTTAGAGTCACAGATGTTGGTTTGAATCTTGCCATTTACTGGCTGTTACTTTGTTTTTCTTTTTTTTTTTCTTTTTCTTTTTTTTTTTCCTGTTAGTTTGAACTTCAGCATATTTATCTTTTAAAATAGGGTTAGTAGCCCTAATCAGTTTGGCTCAGTATATAGAGCATCAGCCTGCAAACTGAAGGGTTCTGGGTTCAGTTCTGATCAAGGGCACAAGCCCAGGTTGCAGGCTCTATCCCCAGTAGGAGGGGGTATGTAGGAGGTTAGCCAGCTGGTCAATGATTCAGTCTCATCATTGATATTTATATCTCTTTCTCCCTCTCCCTTCCTCTCTGAAATCAATAAAAATATGTTTTAACAAAAGTAGGGTTATAATGGGATACCAAGTGGAAATCATAAGATCTGGCACATAGTAGGTGATCCGTGAATGTTAACTTTCTCCATGGAAAATCATCTGCCAGATTGTCATTATATATTTACAAAACTAGCTGAAGCATGTTTTCTCCTAGCTCTAAGACAACCACCCACACATTCTGGAATAAGTCTCCACAAAGTCCATATTCCTTCATCTGGGCTAACATATAACAGTTAAGAGTAAGTCTGAAATGAAGTTATGGACCTTCCCTAATTTAATTAAAATCCTGGGGCAAGGAAAAGGGACCCAAATAATGCAATGCTGTGAGCAAAAAGATCTCTGATCTTTGCCCTGTGATATGGGGAAAAAAGTCCACTACCAGCCGGGCCTACTTGATCTCTCATTGCCAAACAAGTTTTGCAGCTCTCTTATAGTAGGCTGGGACATAATAGTGGGAAATGAACAGAAGAGGTAATGTTGAGGTGAAGAGAAAGGGTTTGAGATTGCTCACCTCCTCTCACTAATTCCCTGTCTTTAGTATGCATGTTGCCCTTGAACCTTCTATTCCATGCATGACTCAGTCTCCCTTTTGGTTTAAGGTCCTAGAACTCCTGCCTCAACATGCTGCTTTGTTTGCCATCCTAACTGGGAAGGTGAACTGGTTCAGTGTCATTTCAGCAAGTCCAAGCCTGTTTTTCAGATGGTACTTAATCAAAGTATGGTGGACAAATTGGGATTGTGGGACTAGATGCCAGAAAATAAGACCTAGAAAATAGTGGCAGCTTCAAATGGATGGGTGGGCAGATATAGATAGATAGATAGATAGATAGATAGATTGATTGATTTTTAAACTAAAAAAAAACAAAATAGTCTAGCTTTTAGGAAGTTTTCAAGTCCCCCCCCCCTTTTTTTTTTAGCTTAAACACCAAGGACACTTAAGTTAAAAATTTGGCTAAAGCTCTTAATGCCAAAGCAGTTGCTGACAGGATTGGAAGTAGAAACTGAGCTCAGTTGAGACACTATGGCCTGTCCCTCATTTCACCCTGTCCAACCATAGTTCTCCTGGACTTGAATTTGGTTACTTTTTCTTATGCATCACTAAAGAGGCTAAGGATGGAGTTACCATTTTTCTTCCAGATTAAACCAAGATTTCTGGTTAAAGAAGGATAGAATTTAAAACATGTAAGACATCAGGATAACAAGATTCTTGAGTCTCCAGCAGTTTAACTATTTCCCGTTGTTTAGTCCCTTTCAGCACACCACAGTGGCTTCTCTTGGTTATGTATCTGGCGCCTTCATGACATTGGGAACATGAGTGATATGGACACTTATTCACCTGGCTGCTTCCTTAAAAATCAAAATCAATACTGATTTGGAAATAGACTGAGAAGTGTTATGTCCATGCCCTTATTGAAGCATGTTAAATGCACAAAGAGCAAATGGCAAAATTATGATAAAACCAGAAGAACATCCTCATTTCCATTTTTAGGGTGGAGACAAACTAAAAGAAAGCTGCTAGTATATTCTGTTGAATCAAGTCCTCTAGTCCAGTGTTTCCCAACCTTCTGTCATGATGAGAATCACCTGGTGGAGTTGTTAAAACACAGATTCCTGAATCCCAACTAAGAAGTGCTAAACTAGAATTTTTGGGAACATATAGGTAAAATTGTATACTTAACTAGTGCTCTAAGACAGATTTTATATACAGAGCACTAAGTTAGGTATGCAATTTTACCTATATGTTCTCAAAAATTCTAGTTTAGCACTTCTTAGTTGGGATTCAGGAATCTGTGTTTTAACAACTCCACCAGGTGATTCTCATCATGAGAGAAGGTTGGGAAACACTGCTCTAGTCTAAATCAAGGTTCTTAATGATGTTTCAGGCTTTAAAATAGGTGTAAAATCCAGGTGTGGGCACTTGAGGAGATAGCTCTCATTTCTCCTTTTCCTTTGGAGCACTGTTAGCTGTTTCCTCCCTGATCTTTGACCATTCTGAGAAGGAGCTTTCTTCTCACATTGAATCCTCTCTGAGTTTTTCTAAACCAAGAAGAGGGCCATGGAAGGGTGGACCTATTGAAAGCATTTCCTTTCCCACCATTTGGACAAAGGAGGCCTTTTAAAAATTCAGTTTGGCTCAGTGGATGGAGCATCAATCCCCAAACTGAAGGGTTCCGGGTTTGATTACACTCAAGGGCACGTACTTTATTTGCAGGTGCAACGATGGCAGTGTCTCTCTCATATATCAATGTTTCTCTTGGTCTCTCTTCCTCCCTTCTTCTCTCTCTCTCTTTCTCTCTCTCTCTTTCTCTTAAAAAAAAAAATCAATGGGAAAAATATCCTCAGGTGAGGATTAACAAAAAAGAAAAGAAAATACAGGGTCCGGTGATATTGGGCTATTCCTACCACCTCAGCATCTCAGTGCTTGTCTGAGGGCCTGCTTTCTCCTCCCATAGGAGGAAAACCCTGAGCAGCCTGTTCAACTAGAAAATCGATGACTGAGAGACTCTTAGTTGCTGGACTGGGCTTTGTAAACAAAATCTGCCTTTGGGAGAGAATGAGGAAGCCAGGGTATTTGAGTTAGCTCAGCTTATAGAATTAAGATAACTGGCCTTAAATAAATATGCTTGTATTTTATTACTTTGGGTGTTTGTTTGTTTGTTTGTTTGTTTTTATGTTAAGGGCTTTAACCAAGTGTTGTTGTAGGCAGCCTACAGTTGTTGAATACTATTTTGTTCACTGCTCTACTATCCTAAGCACTTTGTAATTATGAACTGATTTAATTCTCAAAGCATTATGAGGCAGATAATAGATGAAGAAACTGAGGCAGTTTGGTAACTTGCCTAAGGACACAGTGGAGCCAAGACTCATATGGAGGCACTTTTTCTCCAGAGCCCATTCTTTAAGGACCACACAGTTTATAATTATTCTCATTTACAATAGTTAATATCTACACTTGAGTTACAGAAAGATTGAAAGCAGAATCAATGTTGCAGCTTTTCAGAGTATTATATCTTTGTCATCAGTTAGGGACTAACCTGCCTTTTCTTTTCTAGTGCTGAGGAATGTAAACAAGTTTGCTGGGCCTTGCGAGATTTTACCAGGTTGTTTCGATAGTTTACACTCCTGCACTGTGCCTGTCACCCAGGTGAGTGGAATATAGTTCCCGGTTTTCTCTGGCTGTCAGGAGTGCTTGGGGTGGACATAGGTGGTTTGTTTGTTTGTTTGAATCCTCTCTTGAGGATACGTTTTTATGGATTTTAGAGAGAGAGAAAGGGAGAGACAGACAGACATCGATGTGAGAAAAAAACATTGATCAGCTGCCTCCTGCACACACTCCCGACTAGAGATTGAACCTGCAACCTGGGTGTCTGCTCTGACCAGAAATCAAACCCCTGACCCTTTGGTGTACGTGATGGCTCTTCAACCAACTGGTCCACACTGGCCAGGGCTGGACATAGGTTTTATTGCCCATCTGTGGACTAATACTAGCTAGAGTCAGGGAAGACCTAACAATTTAACACTTCTGGGCAGCTGGGAAATGCAGGCTCCTAATTTCCCTGGGCTAAGGTAGCCAGATAATTGTCAGCTGCTTTGGATGCCATTTCACCCCCAATAAGAAAGTGATTGTTGCAGAATATATCAAAAAAATGTTCCTCACCTCTTCTCATCACAGACACTTCTAGGATTGTAAATGTGTATAGCTAACAAACCAGTCTTTTTTAATCTGGCTACTTTGATGAAAACACTGCTGACCTAAACTTTACCATGATAAATGGTACTACTCCTAAACCTGACCTTTCAGATTTAATGAGCAAAGTTGCCTGTTATTATCACTTTTACAATTTGAATACTGAAATGCTAGGTTTTGATTGAGGCAGGAGATCTGCTATCTTTGTCTTGCTCCTGATCATCAGTTTTCTCTCTGGCTTCCTGTCTCTTGATACTGAATCAAATCAAGAAGTTGAGCTGAGGAAAGAAACGATGGGGTAGTGGGATGTAGGAGCCAGTTTCTTGACGGAGAGAAGAAAGGCAACTCCTCTAAACCCATTCTTTGACATCTTAAGCAGAATTTATTCTTCCAGGAGTTGGTCCTCCATGCATGTGCAGCACTCGCTGAGGGCTTGTGATTAAATGCATTAGTAGGTAAAGGTGCCGTTCTACAATGCCTCACCACACCAAAAATAATTTCTATGCTTTGGTTCTTTAAGTAGTGATATCATTTTGTGATTCTTAGGTTTTGCAGTATCTATAAAAGCTAACATTGATATTCATTGCTTGTACAGCTGTAAATGTTCATAGCTAACATTCATGGAACCCTTACTATGTATATAGTACTATTCTAAGTGCATTGTATGTATTTTTTTGTTCTGTTTTGTTGTTGTTAATCATACCCAAGATATTTTTCCATTGAATTCATAGAGTAGAAGGGGGGGTGGAGAGGTAACAGAGAGAGAGAAACATCAATGTGGTTGCTTCCTGTATGCACATCAACCAGGGCCCAGAGATCAAGCCTACAACCAAGTGTGTGTCCTTGATCAAAATCGACCCAGAACCCTTCAGTCAATGGGCCAGCACTCTATCCACTCAGCCAAACCAGCTAGGGCTATATGTATTAACTGTATAGATAATTCTCATACAGTTCCCTGCGTTAGTTACTGTTATTATTCCCATTTTACAAATGAGGAAATTGAAGTTGCAAGATGTCAAGTCAGTAATTAATAAGGCCACAATACAAATATAGACATTTGGGTGCCAGAGTCCTTACTTTTAACCACTCTACTTAATACTTTTACAGTAATATTTCTAGGGAGTCCAAATCATTGTTTTTTAAACTTATTTTATCAGGCAAAGCCTTTTAAAATAAACTCTTAGCCTGGCATCAACCCATGAACTAGGAGGTCATGGTTTGATTCCCAGTCAGGGCATATGCCTGGGTTGTAAGCTCGATCCTCAGTAGCAGGTGTGCAAGAGGCAGCCAATCTATGAATCCTCTCATTATTGATGTTTCTATCCCTCAAATCAGTAAAATTAATTAATTAATTAATTAATCTTACATGAAATATTATATTTAATAGACTGAAGTGGAGATTTCTGGTTGTTTTGGAGTTGGAATCCTGGACCTACTGGCTCACCTTTACCCTCTCCTCCTCACCCCCCGCCCTCCCCTCCCCTTCAACTTCCTTTTTTTTTTTTTTTTTTTTTTACTGAGTTCTTATGACAGGCCAAAATGAGGTACCTGAGCAAGTATAGAAACTTCTGCCTTGACTTTATAAAATGCTCGCTATCTCCTGGACCACAAGTATTGACTATTTTCTCTCTTTTGTAGGAATGTCTTTTTTAATTAGAAGACAAGAAGAAAATAAAAACCAGACTGTGTCCCACAATCAGAAACCTCCATTATGGCAGAGGGGCCTTTACCGCCACCAGGCGTTCCACCAGACAGGGAGAAACTCCAGCCCTCTGAGGCCATCCTGAGGAGTTCCTGTTTGGGGATGTGAGGGAAAGTCAGCACCGTTTCTAAAAAGATGGCTGCAGCCTGTCTTGCAAGGTGGGAGGGGAGCTGGTTTCCTGGTGAACTTGTTTCTAAAAGGAAAAATAATTTTTAAGGAAATAAAAAAGGAAAACTAAACTGAAACCAGAACTGAAACATCCTCCTGGTAGCATATGACACTCACACATACATACACGTACCTACACACATGCTACTACGCATGTGCATATACAGAAAAATAAAGGTACAAACTTTCTGTGAAACAAAAATGGTTACTTGGGGAAAATGGGAATTTGAATGAATTATATAGCTGCAATTGGAAAAAAAGGGTCAGGATCATCTCTTAAGGTTTTTTATTGTTTTGTCTGCTTTTTCTCTCTCCCATCCCTTCTTTCTCATTTCCCCTTCTCTTTTAATGAAAGTGAATAGAAATTTTTTTTCCATCCTTCCCAACCATTGCTTACCACCTTTATAGAGTTGTTAGGACAGAGAGCAGTAAGCAAAGAGCCTTTTCTATTTTATATCATGGTCACATTGGTGATTCTAGGACCTGCCAGGGCCAAATTCATGTATATCCCAACTCACTAACTCCACTTCCAATCCACATTGGGTTATCATCAGCCATGAAGAAAAGAGCCAAAATTGGGGTGAGTGGGTTATAAGTGTATATTCTAAGTTTTAGTTTATTTTTGTTTTGTTTGTTTTTTGTTTGTTGTTAGTTAATGTTTCACCCATAGACATGAGAACACAAAAGGGTGGGAATATGGAAAAAAGCGTTTATAGGGCTGAACTGTATTTTACTAAAAAATGTGGAACTTATTTGACTTCATGGGGATGAGGTAGGAGCAGGAAGCCCAAAGCAGGTTGTAATGTTGTAAAGGAGTTGAAGCCCCACACAGGCATTACATACAAGGACACTGTTCTGTCTGGTGTTGTAGCCATCTCAAGAACAAATCAGCAACAGAAAAGAAAAAGAAAAGAAAAATAAATTTTTAAAATTTAATTAGTGTTTGTTTTCACTTCCTTTCTCTGCCTCATAGTTCCGAAGTGGTACAACTAGACCACTTAAGTAAAGTTTCAGTTGTTATCTGATAGTCTGGGTATGGAGTTTAAAAGGCAGGCCTCTGTCTTCAGTGCCCTGTGCCTTCATATTTCAGGAGAGTGGCTCATCCTGCATCTTCTATTCTAGTTCACCCCGAAACTCTTCATGGTAAATTTTATCTTTTAATATAGGCTCAGTGGAAAAGAGAATGAGTCACCCAGAATGGGTTAATCAGAAATGTATATTCTTTCCACAATGGCCACCCACGTACACTGATTGTTTCCTAACCTACTGAGTATTGGTCTTTAAAAAAAAAAAAAAAAAAAAAAAAGCAAGCAAAAGAATGCCTGTAGTGAAGTATAATTGACATACAGAAAGCTTCACATATTAAAGGTGTACGATTGCTAAGCTTTGACAGAGGATACACCCATGAAATCATTAGCAATCAACGATAGTGAACCTATTCATTCCCAAAAGTTTCCTCATGCCTCCTCTTCCACATGCCTAAGTAGCCACTGGTCCGCTTTCTGTCATTGTACATTAGTTTGCATTTTTTTTTTTTTTTTGAGTTTTATAAAAATGGGATCGTACAGTGTGTTACATTAATTGGGCTCTGAGCTAATGATCTTGACTGCAGAGCTGCATCTAGTATCTGAAATCAGTGAAACTTTCCAGCTGTCAATGGGACTCTGAGTTTACTCTCTAAAAAGGCATTGTTGGTAGGGGAGTTGAAAACTTGAAGGTGAAACAGTGTTTGGAATGAGATTATCAAATTCTAGAGATCAGCTCAATACCTCAGCCAGTCTTCTCATTTTCTGGGTAAACAAAACTTTTGAAGCCTGGTCCAATCCTAGATCCTTACAACAGGCAGTTGACTTTTCTGTTTAAGGAATTCAGCTTTTATGACAGAAAGTTGAGTCTGGGACTGAAGAAAACCTATGGAAGGCTTAATGCAACTCTCCAGCCACTGAAAAATAGCATGTGGAATGCATATCCTAGTTAATGCAGAGAGCATCTCCATGGGTATAGCTTTGAAAACGAGAACTTTCATTAATGAGGTCAAGGCCTCAGTGTGTACTGTCTTACAGATTGTTTCAGAGTAGTTCTTAAAAGTAGTCATTACTTTTTAGTGTGGCAAGGATACCCACATAACTTTTAATTTCAAAAGGTACCTATTGGGATCAGGTACCCTCATGTAAACATTGTGTCCCTGTATAACATTGCATAGTGGAAGAAGAACAGGAGTCTTGCATCTGAACTTAAGTCAGAAAGTCCCCATATAATTGTTCCTTCATTTCCACAATTGGCTTAACCAAGAAGTTTTAGTCATGATTATGTGAAATATATCCATTGGGGCTACTAAAAATCCCAGTAAGATTATACAAAGAAAATGATTTAAATTTTTTTTAAAAAATATGTTTGTATTGATTTTAGAGAAAAAGGGAGAAAGGGAGAAAGAAACATCAATGATGAGATCATTGATTGGCTGCACACCCCCTCCTGGGGACCGAGCCCACAGCCTGGGCATGTGCCCTTGACCAGTATCGAACCTGGGACCCTTAAGTTTGCAATCCAACGCTCTATCCACTGAGCCAAACCAGTCAGGGCAATAAGATAATTTTTATGAACCTGTTATAGAAAGTTCAATACTGAAAGTATAGGATAAATAAAACATAAAGGAACGTGAGCTTTTGAATGGCATTTAAGACCTCATAAATGCAACATGTGTGTCCACCTTGTGTGGCCCTGGCTTAATTGAATCATTTTACAAAAATGAAAGCCAAAATTCAGAGAAGTTAAAAATCCAATATTATGATACAAGATATGCCTGATTTTTTGAGATACATTATCAGCAAATGAGAAAGTTGTTTGCAAGAACAATTCTCTGATTGGAAAGTCCATCAATATCCTCTTTTGCTCTGAATACTGAAAAGTTATTTATGTCAAAGAAAAGCTGTATTAGAGACAGGAGTCTGAAATTAAAAGGGACTATAATAAGTTTGCCAATTTTCTGAGAGAAGCTGGAAATCAGGTGACATCTAATTTTGAAGTGATGACAACTAATTTCAATCTAAAGAGGAAATAGAGCTGCACAAGCCAGTGAGGAGAAAGGTGGCTGAAAACTAAGACTAAAGACAAAAAAAGAACCGTGTAAGCACTGTTCTCTAGTTGGTAAAGCTTCTTAAAGAGCCTTGAGTTTAACAAGTTTGAAAACTCTGTACATATGTGCAGTACGGAAAGGGGGATGAGAGAAACCTGACAAACACTGCTTTACCAAGTGACCAAGGTAGAAATCAGCAGTAAAAAGTCATGATGATAGTGTGCTCCCTCAATATGTGAGAATGATTCTTCACCTCTGTGGTCTTTCTTACAAAAACCATAATAAACACATCAGGTAAACCCAAAATGAGGGACATTGTAAAATATATCCTCAAAAACAAGGAAAATCTGAGAAACTGTCAGACGATTTGAGGCTAAGGAAACAATGACTAAATGTAATGTGTTAATTTAGATGGGATCCTGGAATAGAACAAGGATATTAAATAAAACTAATCAAATCGAAATAACGGAATTTAGTTAATAGTGTATTCATATTTCATTAGTTGTGATGCCATCTGCAGATATTTGGTGGCCCGAGGCAGTGGCTGACTTTGCATCCCTTGGGAGGCCCAGAGCCAGTGCACCCAGTGGACAGCTTCAGATTACAACTGATTATACCAGATTACCACTCTAAGCATCTACAAGCAATATACTCAAGGAGCAGACTCAGTGAGCACCAAAGCCCCACTGAAGCAAGTCCTGCTCCATAGGGTATCTCCTGTATTGTAGACACAGCTCTTCCACTGTAGACACAGCTAGTCCTCATAGCCAATTGGCCTGGAGTTTAATTCCTCCCAGTGATGCCAATAGCAATCAAGGCTCAACTATAAGACTGTACACACAGCCCCCACAGGGGCACACCTAGAGTGCCCAGCTCAGGTGATGGGAGATTGAGTCACTGGGCCCTTCAGGACCCCTAATACACAAGGCCATGCTACCAATTCCAGGAGACATAACAGCTCTACCTAATACATAGAAACAAATACAGGGAAGCAGCCAAAATGTGGAGACAAAGAAACATTACAAATGAAAGAAATGGAAGCAAGCAAACTACTGTGACACAGTTCAAAACAATGCTTAAGGTTACTCAAGGATCTTAATGAGAGCATCAAGGGACTCAGTGAGATTTTCAAGGATCTTGGTGAGAATGTCAAAGACATGAAAAAGGACCAGTTAGAAATTAAGCATACACTAACTGAAATAAAGAATAATTTACAGGGATTCAACAGTGGAGTAGTGTATTCTGAGAACCAAATCCATTATTTGGAATATGAGGAAGTAAAAAACACCCAATCAGAGAAGAAGAAAAAATTTCAAAAATATGAAGGTAGTATAAGGAGCCTCTGGGACAACTTCAAACATACCAACATTCACCTTATGGGGGTGCCAGAAGAAGAGAGCGAGCAAGACATTGAAAACATATTTGAAGGAATAATGACAAAAAACATTCCCCAAATGGTGAAGGAAATAGACTTACAAGTCCAGGAAGCCCAGAGTCCCAAACAAGAGGAGACAAAGAGGCCCGCACCACGACACATAATTAAAATGACAAAGGTTAAAGAATCTTAAAAGCAGTGAGAGAAAAGCAGTTAGTTACCTACAAGGGAGCACCCATGTGGCTGTCAGCTAATTTCTCAACAAAAACTTTGCAGGCCAGAAGGGAATGGAAAGAAATATTCAAAGTGATGAATAGTGAAGACCTACAATCAAGATTAATCTACCCAGAAAAGCTCTCATTTAGAATTAAAAATCGGATAGGTTCACAGACAAGAAAAAGCTAAAGGAGTTCATCACCACCAAACCAGTATTACATGAAATGTTGAAGGTTATTCTTTAAGAAGGTAAGAAGAAAAAAAATAAAAATAAAAAAGGGAAGAAGAAATTATAAAAAATATAAACAATAAAATGGCAATAAATACATATCTGTCAACAATTGAATCTAAAAATAAAAATAAGTGAACAAGAAATCTAATGGACAAAATAAACTAGTGAATAAAAGGATCAGAGGCATGGAAACATGGAACAGACTGACAAATCTCAGAGGGAAGGAGGTTGGGGGACAGAAAGAGTAACTGAAGATCTTGTATGCATATATGCATTACCCATGGACAGACAATAGAGTGGTGAAGGGTTGGGTCAGGAATCAGGTGGAAAGGGGCAATGGGAGGAAAAAAGGGGGACATCTGTAATACTCTCAACAATAGAGGTTTTAGAGAGAGAGAGAGAAGGGGACAAAAGTCTGTACAGAACATGTAACCATATATAGATGCTCAACTCAGCCATGCTCTTAACAAGAAGTGGCACTGAGATACTATTTCTCACTTGTCAGGTTGGCGAAAATCCAAAAAGGCAACAGAGTCTGTTTGGTCAGACTGGGAAGATAGACATGCTGTAGATTGATCAGGGTTTTGCCAATATCTGGCAAAATCATATCCATTTACACTTTGGCCCAGAAATTCCATTTCTGGGGCTCCATCTGAAAGATATACTGGCAAAATATGAAAAGATGTAAGTATATAGAAGCCTATTAACTGTAGCATGATAATAACTAAAGATGGAAACAACTCAAATACCCACTAATAGAAAGTCAGAACAAAAATCTATGTCTAGTTGAGTCTCCAGTATCCAGTACCAATTTACAGGAAACACCAGTAGAGGAGACAAAATTGTTAGCAACGTGACAAAGATGCAGTCAGCAGCATTGAAGCAAAAGCAAAATGCAGAACAAACACTGAAGTTTCTTCCCCAAATTGCAAGGGAATAGAATCTTACATTTTAAACAACAGTTATTTGATAAGAAATTAACTTTGCCAGTTATATTTTTGTTTTTTTAGAACATCCTTGTCTTTTAGAAATATATT